CAAGCCGCATGCCCCTACACCTCTAAGGCCTCAGTGCCAAGCCCCCATGTATCAACACCGAGTTACCCACCCTGACCCCAAAAATACCATAGCTTTTTGAGCACCCACCCACCCCATGAACGTTTCTCACATGCGTTTCTTGTGTCGGGCACGGGAATTTGTCCAGCAAGAGTATCTCCTGAGTCTAGGAGTATCGGCTGAGAGTTCTGTACTGTGCCAACATGGAGAAGTGACCAAAATCTCAGGAACGATGCCTTTTTAATAATGGTCCCCGGAGCGCTGGGAGTGGTTCGACAGCAACCGTCTCTGCGAGGTGTCTCAAAGAGGAAGCGGACCGTGGCGGTCAAGGACGCTGAACGAGAAGGTGTCAAATTGAATTAGGGATTGTGGTGTCTGCCTCTACCTGTATAACATTCACCTTGGCCTTGCATTGAAGGGGTTCCTAGACCAGGTCGCTTGGGCATAGAGCATTTGGATAAAGAGTTGTTGGGGAACACCAGAACCGCTTTTCCCTGGTGTTCCCTCTAAATTTAGCAACGCACCTGGATACAACAAAACACATCAAGATACTTCCCAAGGCCGGTGGGGGTTATTCGGAGTTAAAGACTTAGGCTTCAGAGTTTAGGCCATGGATGCGATTGTGTTCAATGTCTTTCGTTTTGGGGTTGGGTCTGTTCTAGGCGTTCGTGCATGTCGCAGTTTGTTACAGCATGCACCAATAGCTTCCGAGTGAAAGCAGAATGAAGGAGACTACGGGTGGACACCCGTGCGAGGGCGACGAGGAGGCACGTGCTCTTGAAGCTCAAGCATCACTAAGTTTTTAGGGTTTTAGGTTTTTGGGATTTAGGGTTTAGGATTTCGGGTTTTAGGGTGTGGGGTTTTAGGGTTTCCGAAAGGATAAACCTCAAGCCCTCCCCAAGCCCAAAAGCGCACCAGACGATACCGACCTTTAGCCCTGAGCTCTACTTGAAGGCTCATGGGACTGTAGAGACATTGGGAAAGCCTTCTAGGTCCTTGTAATGCATTGTAGCACCTCTGAACCCCATAAACCCTAAAAAAACCCTACTTGAAGGCTCATGGGACTTAGTAAGTAAGGTTATCAGTAGGTTATAAGTAGGATATAACCCCACTTAGGAGACTTATAACCCCAATTACAACCCTCTAGGTCCCTCACCCCCACCGTTCCAGCGCAGGATCTCGGACGCTGCAACGATGTGGACTGCCCTCTCGACTGCCAGCCGGGGTCTCAGACGGGCTTTAGGGCTTTGGGCCACTGGAAGCTCGGGTTGAGGTTTAATTTAGAGGTTTAGGGCTCTAGGGGCTCAGGGTTTTAGAGGGGCTTTGGGGACTGATTGCTGAGGATCAGGGCCTTTGTGAGTGCTGTTGGTTACAGGGTGAGGGCCTTTGGGGTGTCCTCCGGTTGAAGATGTATTGGGTTCCTGAAACAGCTCAGAGGTCTTCAGGTGAGTCACACGCCTGTGGGGTTTTTGGGACAAGGGCTTTAAGAGCTTTGAATCGTATGCTCACATGAAAGGCAATCTTAAGCAGCTGCATGCCTCGTCAAGATTGACACGCACGTTTCGCTCGCCGGTTGCCTTTGAGAGAGTCGTACAACGACCATCTTCAGGGTGAAAATTCAACGAGACACCATGCTTTTCTGCTTGCTACAACATACATTATCACCTCTTCGTCGGGGTGTCGTACTGAAAGCAGTGTTAAGTAGAACCGCAGTTTTGTCAGTGGTGATAGACTTCGTCAGATGATGTAGCCATGCTTGCTGTTGTCGTTGTCGTTGGTGGTGGCATCCTATCTTGCTTGTTCAATTTCGTTGTCCTTCTTCCGACCGCAACAGCAGCCTTACGCCATCTTGCCCAAGGTGGGGTGACTGGACATCGTGGTCAGACTGTACGGCGTCATGTGACGGAGGAGTACGGCAGAGGCGTGCAAGCGTGGTTGTCCGTGTAGGATACCACCTGACCTCGTGGACGGTGGGTAGTTGACATCTGAGGCTTGTAGAAGCACTTGCGCAGAGGCCGGCACAGAACTTGTGGTTTTTGTGTTCGTTTTCTCCAGCCGTGTGCTGCCACTGCACTGCCCAAATGTTCATGCCCGGCCGGGGGATTTGCACAGGACCCCGGACACTAAGTCTGTTTAGGGTGTTTCGGTATCGAGAGTTCCAAGTCTCTCATCCCAGTTGAGGCGGATTTGCCCTTGTGGAATACGTCTCGATCACCACTGCATCTGCAAGGTTCATATGCAACACGGTTTCCCAAGCCTCAGCGTAGGTACACGATCGTCCGCTGCAGAACCTTGCTCCGAGTAAGAGTATCAGAGTATCAAGGCCCTCGACTGTGCGAGATCCCTTCTAGTCACCTTCGTGAAGCCTTCGTGCTCCAAACCCCCAATGGGGAAGGGGTAAACAACAAAGATTGCAGAAACCATCATAAACCTTCAAATCCACCCGAAACCCTACTCGGGAAGACCTTGAATCCTAAAACCCTTTGTAGTTCCTTTTGAGAATGGCAACCCCTTGTGGTTATCCTTTTTAGAATCATTGTAGAAGCCCTTACTTGGTTCCAGCAGCCGTTGTAGTACGTCTTAATTATACTACCCCGAATCCCCAAAACCATGAATCCCTTGGAGCAGCCAGGGAAAAGCCGGTGATCCTAGAGGCGTGCCTTGGCGCAAAGAGGGCACCTCGCGGGAAAGCTGCTTTAGCTTAGGCTTGTGGGTTTCCAGGGTTGTAGGCTTTACCCTAAGGCTCCATAGTAGTTCCGTTTTGGGGTTCATATTTGGAACCCTAAAAGGTAATCCCGAAAAGGAACTACTTTGGAGCCTGTGGGTAGGATTCAGGGGTCTGTAAGGGTCCCATGAGGTTGATCTAAGTCTCAGGTTGCCATAGGTTGCCAAAAGGGTTGCTAGAAGGGTTTCTATGAGGTTTACTCGAATCGGGGCTTACGGGTCCGCAGACCTCTGCAGTAGTTTGTGTGCGTTCCTACTGTTTAGCTTAGGGTTGCTTAAGATTGCGCCCAAACAGGTTCACGATGCTCGGGTGTTTCTTGCAACATAGTGATATCAGAGCACTGACGGTTGCGCATTCGACCTACTTACCGCACTCCCAGTCTGCGCGGTGCCTAGCATGCCTTGCTGGTTTCATGGTACTTCCCCGTATTGCTTTCTACTGTCATCGCTACTGACTTTCCCGTGTTCGCGTTGTCGTTTTCAAACTGCTGCATGACTTGCCGCTGCCTCTCGCTGCCAGCAGTCCTCCTTCTTCGTGTGTCCGTGAAAGCCCAGCTGCCGGCATAAATGGTTCTTATACCATCACTGGCATCGTGAGCTCTGCTATCAGCACTGCTTGTACAAGATGACATTCACTCTACGCGCTTCCTACATTCTAAGCTGCGCAAGTAACCTGCCAAAGTGTTTGGGCTTGCATCACCCTGACACAATTACGAAGCTCCTACGATACTCAGCAGATAGATACACCTCGGATGAAGAACCAGGAAACCCCAAAGCAAATATGATGACATCCATGCGGATCCCGTTCAAATGCAGATGTGAGATCGAACAATTTGTGTTGGAGTAGCCGCAAATCGTGCAGGGCTTGAGTCGGCCTTACTTAGCACTGCTACTACCTGTAAAACGAGTAGCCTAAACTCTGAAAGTTTAGGGGTTTAGGATTCAGACCCTTGCAGCCAAGGAATGCCCAGGGGCATGCGTGCAGCCTCGAAGACGGTGTGGAAGTAGGCCTGGTCGTGCAAACTACTCTGAGTTTCTGCAGGCCTTAAGGTGCATCTCAAAAGCTAAGCCCTGCCACCGCCAGGCCAAAAAGCCTTCTCATTTCCACGCCCTACCTACCCTGAGCTCCCACCCCTGCAAGCCCCACCCTAAGCACCAGTTAGCCACCAATTCTAATCGTAATCAATCCCAAGGAGAAGCTTCGTTTGCTCTTGACCGCACGCACTCTATTTCTGAAGTAGTTTCTTTTCAAAGGAGTGCTGACTGAATTATACATGTACAAGTCAATCAAACACTCCACTAAAACCTCGACCCTGAACCCTAAACCCCCTAAACCCTAAACCCTGGCCCTAAACCCTGAACCTTTAAGTTGCCAACCCTAGAACCCAGCGGCTTGCAGGCGAGTGCAACACGCAGCGCTGCTCTCGCGACTGCGAGTGGTCGGTAGCTGGGCCCAAGCCGAGAAAGGATTTCGGGTTCTGGGGTGAGGGTTTAGGGTTCAGAGTTGTGGGTTTAGGGTTTAAAGGGTAGGGGGGGGCTAGAGTTTAGGATCCATGGTTTAGGGTTCCGGGTATACGATCGAGTTTTAAGATTTGACTGGTTTAGGCTTGGAGGGTAAACGAGGTTTAGGGGTTAAGGGTCAAGTAGTTTCGAGTTTAGCGGAGTTAGTGCTTCAGATTCAAGCTTGAAGTATAGAGTTCTTCTGTTTTGAGGATTGAGGGTATAGGGTTTCCGTCTCCTTGTTCCCAGGGATGAGTGAGGATCCTCATGCCTTATGAGTTCCAGAAGTGAGGGGATTCTACGATAAGGATCCAATCCAATAACACACCCCACATGACCCTTACGCCAAGAAGCCATCGTTCAGGTTTGTACAATAGACTCAGAGGGCAATCGTGTGGTGTAGGCTTCGGTTTGTAGTTGCTTGCTCAAGACTCACGCGAAGGTAAACCTGTTGTCATGTCTCAGTTTAGCAAAATTCCTCACCAATCCTTGCTCCAGTCGTTTCGGGTGATGGTCACAACTCAGTCACAATGTCAAAGCTCTGACACAGGAGGCAGGAACAAGAAGCCTACAGCGTCATGGACTTTCAAAACAGGTTATGGAAGATATCGTAACGAGGCCTTCCACGACTTTTGTATACGTTCTGGGTCTCGGAACCTGAGCGGTCCCCTTCTCCGCGAGGGGCTTGTGCAATGAAGATCGTCCTACTCTTAAGGGCCCATCGTTGGTAGCTCTTTAACTACTTACATACCTGTGCAATGGGTATGGGTATCTGCAGGCATCTGTCGGAGTCGCTTCCCAGAAACTGCCGCTTCGAGACTTAGAGGCTTCCCAATAAGCTCTAAACCCCGAGGCCCATACGGATTCTACTATTTGCTTAAGAACCCCCAAAAATAGAAAATAGCAATCCCTATAATACCCCTATAAGGAATATATTTTTATTTTTGGAGGGTTCTTAAGCAAATAGTAGGATTTAGGACTTCAGGGTTTAGTGTTGAGAGAAGAATCCCAAACAGATTCAAGCGACCATGTTGAGGATTGGGCAGATTGGGGCGCTTGCACCGTGTCCTGCTCTGGCGGCCAGAAAGCAAGGCTTGATGCTAGGGTTGGACTCATCGGGACGCAACGATGCGGAAAGTGTTTCATCCCACATCCTCCTCGAAACGATCAAAATCCGGAGTCATACAGATGTTGAGTCGTTCTTGAGTCCTCCATTCCGAGACGTGGAACCGCACAAAGTAAGAAGTCTTACGCCTCAGACTTAAGAAACTTATTCAGCCCCAAACCACTGAAACCCCGAAGCCCCAAGACCCTAAACCCAAAAAGCCTGCACCCTTCTCAGCGCCTAATCCCTAAAAGCAAACCCCGAAACCCAACACCTTAAAAGCCTTAAACTCTAAACGCCCTCATCCCTGCCTACCCAACCCGTATACGCCCTACCTTGGCCAGGACCCGTGGGGTGAAGATCCCGGCGGTGGAAGGCGGCGCCGACTGCAGCGGTGACGCATCCGAGGCCCATGGCCCCCCCACCGAGAGCAAGCAGCTCTTGCCACTCTTGCCTCGGTTAGGCAAGGATTTGCGAGTCAGTTGTCTACATTGCTGTACTCTAAGTCCACAGCTCGCATTTTGGTTTAGTTGGGGTTGGGGTCAATATCTCCCAGAACTTCGACACTGAACCCACAAGGCTTGCACCCTACAACAGCCCGCTTACTCACTTGCACTTAGTTTTTCACTACATGACTCCGGTCTGGTACACCCCATGACCCCACGTAAGCTTTAGTTGCAAGGACCCCTGTGTAGTAAGCCCTCAACGAAATGCTTGAAAAACCCTTTACATAAAACCTTCCCAGCGCCTGTTTTACGGGTCCTTAGAGCCTTCGGAGCAGCGGAGCCTCTGCAGGAAATGTCCTGCAACGTCCGAGCATGCCCTGTGGATTGTGCCAGGGCCTAAGCGTGCGATTTTAGGTTGAAGCCTTCCTGTCGAGCTCTTTCAGTTTAAGGCTTGCATGGGTTGAGGTTATACCCTAAAACCTGAAGAAAGCCTAAGCCATACCCTATCTCAACTGTAGTCGTTGAGGCCGCTATGTCGCAGCCCGAACCTGGAAAGTAGTATTGCTTGGAGCCCAACTACCAACTGAACGGTTGCTTCACAGTATTGGCGGCGGGTCCAGACAAACCAAGACCCTGAACCTTTCACCCCAAACCCCAAAAGACATTCCTAAAGCCTAATTAAACCTGAAGCCCTCCCCCCATATACCCTATTCCAACACCAATCCCAAAAAGAAGTCCCCAAAAGCCCAAAAAACTTAACCTGCAGTGTCCCCCCCCATGCCCGAAAGTCTAGCACCCCAGATTCAAAAACACCAAAACTCTGAACCCGAGGATCTCGACCGTCGCAGAAAACAACCTGATTGACCGATAGACCTCTTGTCGAGTTTAGGGTTTAGGGGCCATTATAGTATAATCAGAATAAGGAACCCCCAAAATAGCAGCGGTAATGATTTAGGCCCCTGCAGTAGACCTCTTGTCGAGTTCCCATGTGACTGAGGTTCCGTCCGATTGGAGCTCGTGGGAGCCGTGCACGACGAGCTGCGGCGCCCTTTCTTCGATTAGCTTTTGCAGGGTCTGCACGGAGTTCTTCAAAGGTGGCTTGGGGGTTTTGGATCTGGGGGTTAGGGCCGGCTAGGGTTTTGCGGTTCAGGGATTTGGGGTATCGGGTTGAGGTTTCGAGGGCTTATATAGACTTCAGGGTGTTGGATTTCCTGGAGTTTCGGGTTTCAGGGTTATCGGCTTTTTGAGATGAGGTTTGGAGTTTAAGGGTTGACGAGGAGAAGCGAAGGTAAGACTGAGAAGAGTGCAGAGGCCACCCAGAAATCTGGGCCTAGCCTTTCGCCCGATTCGGCCTGGATGTCACAGCAAGGCAGCGGGATCCACAATAATATTAATAACAACCGCAACAGAAAACAATGTCTATATATATATATATATATACCGATACTGATATATATGTATGTATATATATATATATATACATATGTGTGTGTATGTATGTATGTATGTATGTATGTATGTATGTATGTATATATGTATGTATGTATGTATGTATGTATGTATGTATGTATGTATATATGTATATATATATATATATATATATATATATATGTTTGTGTATATATATATATATACTTATTTATTTATATTCATATTTGAATTTAATTTTCTATGGTGTACCATCCAGACACCGCGACCCTAAGACCCCCGAAGAGCCATGGCGCGGACACAAGGCAAAGGTCGACAGGTGGATCTTCAGGTGGTCGGATGGCTACCTGCTACTTTTGTTGTCTGTTTTTCTTGATTTCATGGTCTTTGTGCTATCGCTGCCTGCGGCTGCGAGAACCGAGCAGTGCGATCCCAAGACGATGGTGCTAGGAACCAGACAAGACGAACAACGCCAGGCGTTTTAGCATGCGTTCTGCTGATCGAAGAGTGCGTTGAGAAGTCAAAAGCAGGCCGAATCCGACCGGAAGTCCCACAGGTTTTTCCCTGAGCACAAGAAACGCTTTCCTGCCACAGAGCTGCCCGGGCAGCAGGTGCCCCAAAGGAGCCTTTGGGCCGGCAGGTCTCCTCTTCGGTGCCAGCTGACATGGTTCATGTACTACAGGGGCCTAAATTTTCAATAATTACTTATACTATTTTGGGGGTTCCTGAATTGCTACTAGAGTATAGTGGGCCCCAAACCCCTCTTCCAAATATTAAGGCCCCCATATTACTGTTGCGACAAATGCCTGAGCCAGTTCCGGAACTACAACCAAGTCGACCCCACGCATGCGTAACAAAATCAAAGAACTGATGGCGAAGGCTGAAAGCCCAAGCAATGCCTTCCGGACCAAAGCCCGTAGAAAACCTCTTGTGCCCTGAACCCCTATAGTGTCTAAGGCTTAGCTAAGCCGCTGCTGAGGGAACGGCACGCAAGTTCGACGTCGCTACGCGGAAGTCCAGGCCTGGTTAAAACTGCCCGGCTTTGATATCGAAGCTATTGGGTGTTTAGGGTTTAGGGGTTTAGGGTAAGTTTAGGGTTTAGGGGTTTAGGGTCTAGGGTTTGGGGTGTTTCCCCAAGGGTCCAAGTACCTAATAATCATAGACTCTCCAGAATCCTAAACTACAAAGCTACTATCCTAAAACCGAGTACCTAGGTCCTTTGGACCCTTGGGTGTTTCTTCAAACGGATGATGCGTGTGATAGGGAAGAAAAGATTAGAAAACGGTATGTGTTCGAGAAGTTTGTCTTATCAGCCTATGGGTTGTTGATACGGGGTCTAGAAGGCTGCATTGGCTTCTTATGTGCAAGGCTTGCCTGGCTCATTAGGGCTGCTTTACCAGCTGCGTGCAGGGGTTGGAGTAGCCTCGATTAGCCTCTTTGAGGTCGCAAGATTCGACCTGAAGCCCGTAACGCAAAATATCAGGAGCGTCAAGTGTTCAGTTTTAGTTGTGTAAGGCTCGTAACTTAGTTTGCGTTTGGGTGTTTCGATTTCGTGGGAGCCCTGAGCGTTCAAGGCCAATCCGGATGAGCGACGGGTGCTGAGTAGCTTTCTGCTGAGGCGTTGTAGGCTTTTACTTTATAAGGTCCTTCGAGGAGCGAAATAGGGTCGGCTTTCGTAGTCATGACATTCTCTTGTCGTCACCATGTATTTATGCTGCTTTACAGCCCAGAGCCCCTTTCCGGAAAGAGGGCAAGACCACATTCTAGACCCAGACCCCTGGATTAAACCCTTAATGCAAAGCTTCATCTCTCAACTTCATGATTTGCAAGAAGCATCTCGACCTGCTTAGTAAAGGCCACGGGCGGCGGCTTGGACTGCGACAACAATTTCCTCGAGGAGCAGTCATGCTACGAGGTACCTGGGCGCTATCAACGCCTATAAACTCTAAGGATCAGCCGTAGGCCCTTCTGAAACCAAAAACTTTGCGGTTCTTTCTGGGCAGTTGGCAGTTTCTCTGCAGGTGCTTGTGACAGGCGTTCGGAGTTTCAGGGGTGTGCAGATGTTGCTTGCTGTTGTTGCTTTCGTCCTCGCTGTGTTTTCTTCTGCTGTTGCTCCGGCTGTGCTGTGTTGTACCACAGTAATTTCTCGTGGGCTTTGTACGAGTTTTTTGTTACAGTATGGCCCCAGGCATCCAGTATTTGGAGAGAAGAACCCATGGTCAGAAATTCCTCGGACATCTGCCAGCATATCCTCAACCACATAAACTGATGTCTCCGGAGCAGTAAGCACACCCAGTGGCTTTGTTTGAAGTCGCAGTGACACTAGGGTGTTGTTGTGGGGATTCTAGTGGTGATGTCCTCTTGATGTGCATTGCTCGCATCAACCTGCAGATGTTAGATCGCGTGAATGTAAGTCTTAATGAGGTTCTAACAATTGGTAATCATATCGTTCTGTAGTCCCCATATAATCGTACTATGCTGGTACGTCCCGACAATCTTACCCGATCCTTATGGCCTTAGCATCACTTGATGGATCGCCGGCAATTAGCCAGGCAGTGTGTTTTGTGTAAGTACCTCTATACCTGTGTGCGTTTGGTTCCAGCATCATCTGAGAAACGTCTCTCAACGCCCATGGCCATGAACCTTCAAACCAGCTCAGCTACACGAAGCCCAAAAAAATCAACACACTGTAAAGCCATCAGGCAAGCCGACTTCCAACTTTGGAACCCGTAAGACACGAGCATTAAAGCCTGAATATGAGAAAGCATGTAAGACAGGACGGTAAGATAAAAGACGACGCCCGCCGAGAGACATCTCCAGAGGCATATGTCCCTGAACCCCGAACCCTTTCAGAATCCTTTGCCTGGATCCCAGGGGGCGTGTCCAGTCTCCTGCGTTTGGGGCGACTGGGGCAGTTGGAGCAGCGACTGGGACGGCGATTTATGAATATCGTGGAGGTCCTAAGAGTTAGTTACTTGTGGACATTTGTTACAAGATATGATGAGGAGGTTTGGGGCCTGGAGTGTTTGTGGCGTACAGTAGTAAGAGGTTGTGTCAGTTATATCTGCCCATGCAATTAGAATCCATATGTCAGCGGGATCTTGAGGGGCTTTGAAGGCTGAGAGCTTGCCTGGGTGGGGCCAGGTTTTAAAGGTTTCATGTTGTGGGCTCGGAGTTTAGGGATTTTCGGTTTGGGGGCTTTGGGAATTCAGGGTGCTGTTGGGTTTGGAGGTCAGGGATTTGGAGTTTCGGGTTCTGAGCCCAGCGACTCTGAATGCCTATCCGTTTAGGAGGCTGTTCCTAAACCCTTCAAGAACCCTATGTTGGAGGGTGTACTACTTTGTTGCAACTATTCCCAAGGTCTGGTGGCTCGAAAAATCGATTTCAACAGCAGCATCGTCATCAGCAGCCTTCGAACCGTAAAGAGCCCGCCCTATGGAGCCGGTTACGAAACGCTTTACAGCCCGAATCATAACCCCACCACACCCTTACGAACAGACCCTTCGGCCCTCTCTCTGGAGGTTGCAGTGCCAGCTGTGGGAGCTCGGCAGCTCGGGCGCGGTTGAGACCAGATCCCCTTTCCCAGAGCCTCCAAAACCCCTTAATTAAGGAATCTACCTTAAATCATATTACGGCTCCTATTATAATTTAAGGTATGTTCCTTAATTAAGGGGTTTTGGAGTCTCTAGGTTCCAAGATTTAAGAGTTTGGGTTACTGAGGGTTCCGTCAAGGCTTACTACAAGGAGGGTTCCCTGCAGGGCTATATATCCTTGTGTTATGTAGGGAAAGCCAACTCAAGAATTAGGGTTTCTGCAAGGTTTCCGTTAAGGGACACTGAGGGTTACTAGAAGAAGTGCTTTTAAGTGGTGTCTCATAGTCTCATACTTTTTGATTGATCCCAAAATAAGTGCTTTTAAAAGCTGTTCGTTTTAACCTACGCCATAGAAGCCAAAAGCCCAGCATGAAAAACTTCCATGTCCGCATCGAGGTAGAGGGTCGTCGTGTGTTGCCGCCCTCAGAGCAGTGGCGGCTTTCAGAACTGGGTTAATTTCCATAGGAGCCACCACAGCACGATAACCTCCTATGCAACGCTTAACTTGCATGACCCTTGAAACTAATGGAAAGCCTGCTCGTGCGCGTTGTCCTTGTGTTTTCTGCAGGTTTGGGGGGCTCCTGAAGAGATTTCCGGGTTGCCCGGGAATGGTTCCATAAGGTCTAAGGTTGTTGTGAGGGTGGTACAAGGGGAGTCGAGGTGCCCCAGCTCTTCAAGCGGTCAGCTCTGAGCCCTAAACATCGCCTTACCGCAAGTCTTCAAGCCCCTAAACCTTAAACCCTAAACCCCAAACCGACGCCAGGACAGTTATGTCAGCAGCATTCGTGAGCGCGATGTGGTCGAGAGTGCGGGCGGGCTTCCTTGCCAAGGCCAAGCATTGTGCCAGTCAGAGGTTTCTCTGGGTTTAATGTAGGGGCCTTAATAATTACCAATACTATTTTGGTGGTTCCTTTTTATAGTATACTGGGCCCAAAACTCTATTCTAATTATTAAGGCCCCTATAGTATGGTAGCTTTTCACGGCACCGAGGACGCTGGGCAGGTAAGGTTGTCCAGGGGGTTCAATGGAAGAACGGCTAGCGGCTCCAGAATCGTCTTGAGCGATCGCACATCCTTGTGATGAACAAGGGTTCCTTCATTCTGGACGGAAATAGGATTGCGGGAGTTTATCGGCATGACAGGCTCTACTTGAAGGTGGCTCCGCGATAGCCAAGATAGCGAAGCTTTGGGGAATGTGGTCATCTATGTACCGGTAGCAAGAGCAGTAGGAGGAGGAGGAGGAAGAGGAGGAGGAGGATTCTGCAGTAGTAGCAGCAATTGTGCTTTTGTGTATGTACTTTGGCTTTAAGTGCCTTTTTTGTACGTATATATATATATATATATGTATGTATATATATATACATATATGTATGTATGTATGTATGTATGTATGTATGTATGTGTGTGTGTGTATATATATATATATATAGTATGCTGAGGCCCAAATCAGGCAGGACTCCTCCTACTTCGGAGTTCCCGGAAGTAGCATCAGGTAGTGAACTTCTTCCGGGAAGTTCGGGGGGATGCTAGTGATGCTAGTGTTCAAGTCGGGGCTCTTGACCCTGTGGCACATGTTAAGTACCGACGGGGAGGGTTTAGAGTTCAACTCCACTTGAAGGCGATGCGACTCGCCGCAAGCGCTGCGGCTACGACGAATGCCCAGTGGATTGCTGCTGATCTGAACAGATCGGTCATGGTTGCGATTTCATTACTTTTCGTGCACCGACAAGCACCCTCTTGGTCGTGTTGCCATGCCAAAAACCACTTCACTTGAAATAGGGTTATGATTCCTATTTGGAGACTGCAGCCGCGTAAAAGTGAATATAAGTGGCAGAAGAATGTCAAAACACATCCCTTGCAAGCCGTAAGCCTCTCAATCAAAGACCCCTGATCCGCAAATATCAGCAAAGACTCTGAAAGAAGAGTTGAAAGAATGACCCTAACCCCTGCAACCCTCGGATTGGACACCGCACCCCAGCGCCCTCAACCCCAAACCCTTAATCGCTGTTCCTTCGCCTCGGCAGCAGTCAAATTTGGCCGGTAATCTAGGAGCCGCAATAATTTCCAACAATTACTATTTTGGGTGTTCCTTTTTATGATTATAGTATAATGGGCCCAAAACCATATTCTACTTACTAAAGGCCCCTATATTATAGTACCCTTATAGCTCCCTTATAGTAAGCCTTATAGACCCCTTCATAGGAACCCTATTCTAATTATTAAAGGCCCCTACATTACTGAACACTGTGCCTGAGGCCGCTGGAATGACTGGGGTGAGTGGGGCGCCTGCTCACGCCTCAGATCTCAACCCATCGGAGCCCAATACCCCTTAATGAAGGAATATAGCTAAAGCCATTATATGAAGCCCTATTCCTGAATTAAGGGGGTATTGGGCTCTCTGGGAATGTCAAGACACTTTCAGAGGATGCAACCGGGTATTGGAGCTTCATGAGCAGGCCTATCAAGTTTTCCCCTCCCCCTAAACCCTAAACTAAACTGCAATTACCTCCCCCTAAACCCTAAACTCAACTGTAATGAAACCTTCACCCTAGCCGTGGAACCCTTTTAACCTCGGAAGTTGGAGGTCTTCCAACGGAAATTGCAGCTAAGCCTTTTGACGCGTCGACACTGTTCTCTGATGTAGTGTGGTTGTAGAAGATGTCTAGTCCCAGCCTCATGTCTTCAGTATACTTATTGACTTATAGGAGCGTGCACACCCCCCTGCCTCCCCCGGCCCAATTTCGCGCCCGAGTGGCGTCCGTATGGGGACCCGGGTTTTGGGGAGAGCCTTATGGGTGGTTGTCAAAATTACGTTCCGTTTTGGGTCCTTATTATAACACGGCACCTAATATTTAGGGTACCCCAAAAGGGTTTAGGGTAAATGCGGACCCTAATATTTCGGGTGGAGGGGTGGAGCTGGAAGGGGTGTGGAGAGGGGTGGAGGGGTGGAGGGGGGGTGGGACGGGTGGGACGGGTGGAGCGGTGGAGGGGTGGTGGAGGGGTAATTCGGGTCGCCCTATTTTCGGAAACCCCCATGTCCAGGAAGACATCGGCTCGAGGCTCAAGCCCAGTAGTAGTAGGTTATAAGTAGGGTTATAATTGGGGTAATAACTCCATGTAAGGTACTTATAACCCTATTTATAACCTACTTACTAAGTCCTCTGGGCCTCCATATAAGCTCTTGTCATCACCCTTAGTGCTCAATATGGCGCGAAGACTTGGGAAAAACCAGAGCGTGTCTCTGTAAGGTATCCAAGGCACCTATGGGCTAGACAGGCAACAGTACAAGTAGTATAACATAGTTGCCTAGTCCGAGTAGAGTCTAGCGAATAGGTACATTTAGAAGTTCAGCACCGTTTGTTTACACGGTTTGAGCACAAGAAAACTTCAAGTGGCCATCAACCACACGGTAACACGACATGCAGACCTTAAAAATGCTGGGAGCCCAGTTACCGCCTTCGCAGTTAGGGCGAAAAGCTTAGGCACGCGGAGCTGCGGGGGTGGGCTCTCGGAGCGTCTTCGCAATGCGGGGTCCTGAGTAAGGCCCCCTACTGTTCGGGGCTTATAAACAAACTATGGATAGGCCTTCTGGGGCTTTTTCCAAAAACGGCTGTTGAGATACTGCGTCTACAACGTTTGGATATGGGCTTGGGGTTTGAAGCTTGGTGGCTGAAACTGTGGATAGTGCAGGCTGGTGTCCGTCACTAGAAGGATTTCGTATTCGGAGGCCCTAGGTAGCGAGCTTCCCGAAGGGATCATTGCCTGTGTCGTCTTTCGAAAACCGACTGAAACACTGTGCAACGGAATGGAGTCTGGATCTTTTTTGATTTTAACGGCTCCAGGAGGGTAAGAGCCACACCCCAAGGCCCACAAAGCAACACCTGGCCCCAAACTCCAACATCCTGAGCTGCAAACAAAGAGCCTCTACCAGCAGGAATTGGAGCAATGTGCGCTTATTCATGGCAGCGAGAATAAGGGAGTACTAGTACATACTGATGCTAAACCTGAGGCAGAAAGCCCTCAGCCTGTGGCCCCGCCGGCTTCTTCCAAGTTTTCTTCTTTTCATACTGGCCTGTTATTACAGGATGCCTCGAAGGGAACCTTGATTTGTCAGGATAAACGAACAAGCCCCCGGACCTTAAACCATAAGGCCTACGAACCTCCTCCCAAACCAGTGTAAACCTCAAGTCCTAAAGCCTGAAACCCAAAACCGTAAAGTCTTTTGAGACACCAGCCTCAAGGTTTCTACAAGGGTTGCCATCACGGTTTCTCTAATTTGATGAAGGGCCTACAACCCTAAACCCAAGCAACCAGAGACCCCACACCCTACACCCCAAAAAGCATTAAACCCTAAGGCCCTCAACCCCTAAACCCCTAAACCCCAAACCCTAAAGCCCTAAACCCCTCCCAAACCCCGACCCTAACCCTTAGGCCCTCTTTCCGAGTCCTGCCAAAGCCTGAGATCGAGGCTTCCGTTGCTGCAGCCTTCGGCGGCAGCGACTGTGAGGGAGTGCCCTGGCCGAACCCCCCAAGCACTGCGATACTAGGAGCCAGAGTAAGCCCTTATTCCCGTTTTTAGGGTTCAGGTTCCCTAATAACACCCCTTTAAACCAAAAAGGGCACCCTTTTCATTCCTAGGTTACGCTTAGGCCTAGGACATGGGAGTTCTTCCTCAGACCATACTTGAAGGCTCATGGGACTTAGTAAGTAAGGTTATAAGTAGGTTATAATTAGGATAACCCCACGTTGGGGACTTATAGCCCCAATTATAACCTACTTACTAAGTCCTCTGATCCTCTAAGAATGGGAGCTTCCGAAAATACAGGGACCGTACTATGGCGCTTATTTCGTACCCTAAAGAGTCGGATCCTCATTATATGGACCCCAAATATCGGTTCAAAGGGATAGGTTTCGGGGTAATATGCTCAGTTAGTAACTAGTAGTATTGCCCTCTTTGCAATATATGCTGGACGATACTTATTCCCAGGCGAATCAGGAATGCCCCTATTACCTCCCTTCAGGATGTTTCATACGCTTCTATTAAAGGTTCCGTGGTTTAGGGCTACACTTAGACCCCCCAATTACCGTCTAATATACCTTCGATATCCACGATTACTGACCATAATGGCTCCAAGCATATCAACGAACTCATGTGCTATCGCCTCACTCGAACGAAGTCGAGACTTCACGATGCAACGCGAGAGATTTTGCTGTAGGCCAATGCGACAGGCTCACACAGGATTGGTTTGCTGCATGTTCTCCTAAACCCTAAACCCCTGAGCCCTATACCCTGGAGTCCTGAAGCCTTTGAGCCTTCAGAGACGAGGCCTCTCGGGACGTCATGGCCTGTTCGTCCAAGCCCTGCCCTGTGGACTGTGTGCTCTCTGACTGGTACCTGGGACTGCTTGAGCTTTAGGGCTTACCTTAACCCGGAATAGCCTACCCTTTTTAAGGACTTCTATAAGGAAATCATAATAAGGCACTCTTAAAAAGGCAGGTTATTCAGGGTTAAGGTAGGGTTGGAGATGTAGGGTTCGAGGTTTAGCACTTTGGGTTCGAGGTGTAGGGTCTAGTTTGGGCTTTGAGATGTAGGATTCGGGGTTTAAGGTCGTAATATTGTTTCTTGGGTTCATGAGGTTCTTGCAGAAACGTTCCATGGGTGTCTTGTTGCTTGACCGCTGTATTGTTCTGTTGGCAAGTGGGGGGCTTCAAGCCAATCGAGTTTCGAATAAGAAACAATGTAGAAATCTTTGCAAATACATCCACTTTGTGCGGAGTCTGATTACCAGGATGCTATTTCAGAATCCTTATGGCCTTATGAACGGAGAGGGTGCTGTGAGTCAGAGGTCGCCATAATTATAGGTTCTGGGTTGCATTGTTTCTTCAGTTCAAGCCTTCAAGTTTGTTGAGTTGCTGAGACGAAGAGTGTCGCGCACCTTAGTTCTAGACTTTGCGTGTGCTTGGTCTAGGGCCTGTTAGATTCTTTGGGTGGACATGTTTCTAATACACGGACAACCAAGGCTTTCGTTTACGTGAGTGGGGAATTGGAGATGTTGGGGACCTGATCGTGTTTGAAGTGCTTTGCCTTCCGTGAGGCGTAAAAAAGGATCTGTGGTTTGGCCTGGCTTTCAAGCCGTAAGGGTGTCGTTAAGATTCCAGAATTTCCATAAGTTACAATCTTCCCAAACCCTAAGCCCTAAACCCTGAGACCTTAAGCCTAAACCCTAAAACCTTATATCCCTAAACCCTAAACCCTGAAACCTTATGCCTAAACCCTAAACACGTACTTGCTGGAGCCTGGAGGACTCCTTGGACGGAGTGCAGCCACCACTGCGGCAATGGCTCCGCACTCCGCTATCGATCCGAGGCAGCGGCCGAACTTAGGGCTCAGGGCTTGTAGGGCCATTCTAGGGTTTAATCAGGGGTTTTTAGGGCTTAGTCTAGGTCCTGAGGGTTCAATGAGGCAGTTCAGGGCTTATAGGGAGTGGACATAGTACGAACGAGTTGCCCCAAACTCTGAACTCTAACCCTGTGCCTTGTGCCCTGACCTTGATGATCGCACCCCCGTGTTTGTCAGTGATAGGCGGCACGCATCAGCCTCAACAGGCTCGCAAGCCGTTGCAGTCCTTGGAGCGCGCTCAAGAAAGCTTGAACCCAAGGGCGGGAACGGCAACGTGCTAGCCTCAAAACCTGATCCCGAAACCAGTTCACTCTCGCTGCGTTTTGACAGGCTCTTCGGTGATGCTTCGGCTGTGTGACCCAGAAATTCCTGCAACTTACCAGTGCCACACATCCGAAGTAGCACTCGCAGTACCTGGATGATGCCTATGCTGAGTCGTGAAGTGCATTTTCTGCTGTCTGAATAATTCAGCATTCGTCTACACGCTGTGATCATCAAAGCAAAAAACTCTTTCCAATTAATAACAAGGAGTAAGGCCCTATATCTTGACCCGTTACCCGGTTAGTAAAGCATGATGCGGAAACCAGACAACCAAGTAAAACAAGTCCCCCGCAGACTAGAGGTTTTTATGAAAATACAATGCATCCAGAGATGGTTTAGGGTTTAGGGGTTTCAGGGTATGTTGGGTGCTTTCTTTTGCTGAGGGTTTAGGCCTCAGGAATAAGAGCCCCTACGCCTGCGTCATCGAGCCTCGGATTACCCATCAAAGCTGAATTATAGGAACAGGGGTGCGCTTCTTCAGGTTATACCGGTGAAAAACCTCGCAGAAGCCGTACACAGAAATTATTTCCAGCAGAGACATGGGGAAAGCCCTCTAGATCCTTGCAATGCATTGTAGCACCTCTGAACCCTAGACCCCATAAACCCTAAACAAACCCTACTTGAAGGCTCATGGGACTTAGTAAGTAAGGTTATAAGTAGTTTATAACTAGGGTAACCCCAGTTAGGGGACTTATAACCCCAATTATAACCTACTTACTAAGTCCCATGATCCTCTAAGTAGCCTAAACTACCCCTTATAGAACCCTTATATGATCGATCCCTAAACCCTAAACCCTTTAAGGAGCCCTTTAAGGAACCCTTAGTCCCATGATCCTCTAAGTAAACCCCAACTCGGCTCCTGCATGAGAGGCTCACGCCGCGGAATATGGCGGGAAAGCTTGTCCGGAGACCGGAATAGGGATCATGGGACTTAGTTAGGTTCCTATAAGGGCTCCTTAAAGGGATCTATAGGGCTCCTTAAAGGGATCTATAGGGTTTAGGGATTAGGGTCTACTTGGAGGATCGGGATTCAGGAAATGGAAGAAGGGTAGTAATAGTAGTTATAGTTGTATCCCATTCCTCCATTCCCTACTAACCAAAGGTAAGTACTTGGGGGATCATGGGACTTGCTAAGTATGGTTATAAGTACCTTAATTGGGGTTATAAGCATAAGGCATAGCTACCTTAATTATAACCGTAACCATTGATATTATGGGAGCTAAGGAGCCAGGGATGATGATAATCCCTATTAAATAAAGAGCTAAAGAGCCGAGGGAACCCCCAAAACCACTGGTTAGTTGTAATGTAGGATTTGATAATCAAGGTATTTTCTTGCTTGGGTTTTGCACGATGTTTAGGGCTTTGAATAGTGTTGTAAGTCGTATTCTCTTGCCGCCGGCTGTGACTATGCTACCTCTGGCCTGAAACCTTATCCTGTTTGATTAAGATCCCTGCATTCTGAGCTGAGCCTGTGTAAAATTTCAATAGTAGGGTATGGTTTGAGGATATGAGAGCTAAGGGCTTCAAGCTTTCGGAGCTGGCATTGCGGTGCTTACGGCTTTTGCACCATCTTTGTTATTTTTCAGGTTTACCTTAAACTGGTGTGTTGGGAGTACAATAATCATAGTTTAAAGCAAACACGTATACTATGGTAGTTGTGGCCATGGCCTGACTGCAGCAATTGCAGCGATGGTACATAGGTTAAGGGTGGGGTTTACGGTTTGTGGTTCAGGACGTTGGGGTTTGCACCAGCCCCTCATCGTCCGGACTGAGCAGGATAACTGAGCCAGGGCTCTGGAACGGATTTTTTTCTCAATGATACAGCTCATACGTGTGCTTTATCAGGCGTTGAACATGTTTAACATACTGTTTCGAAAAAGGCTGTGCAAAGGCTTTTGAGAGTTTTTTTAAAGAGTATTCATAGGGCTGTAAAAGCTTAAGTTTGATCGACTAATCATACCTCGCGGAGGAAGGAAGCAAACCCAGGTCGCTGAATTTCAGAGCTGAGGAGCTAGGCCCACACTGCAGAACCTCTAATTTAGAAGCCTGTATGACTAGCAATACTAATCTTCAGCGCGTTTTGTAGTATAATATGCCCGCAGAGCCCTATTTCCTGTTGTTGAGGCCGCTATATTGACCCAACGTGGAGGATCGCGATAGCATCTAGGCAGAGTTGTCATTTGTAGTTGCATCCCAAGTGTCTGGGACCTAGTTGCTAAACCCTACGTCAAAGCTCAGTGAAAAAGAAGCCGAACACAACATAGCCATATTCCTAGCATCCGCCACCCCACAGCAATCAGACCTAAGCCCTAAAGCTACTAACCCGCACAAGTAACCGTCGAAGCATCAAAACGAGATGCAAATCCTAAACCCCCGACCTCGTAGAGCCCAAGACTGGAAATCTACCCCCCTTGTCCCGTAATCTCTGAAACCTAGAGCCTCGAGCCTCCAACCCCATACCCTAGAGCCCGAAGCCACAAACCCTAGCAAGGTTTCTTAAGCCAGCTCCGGGTCTGAAAGCTCCGATCCTGTGCCTCAAAGCCTCAAAAATCCGAATCCTCAAAGCCTCGACCCAAGCTCCTTAAGCTCAATCTACAAGGGCTGCTTTAAAGGGATCTATAAGGGCTCCTTCAAAAAGGCTCTCAAGGCCTTAAAACCAAAGCCCCAAGTTTCAGGGCCTATACGGACGTCTAAGCTAACACTTCGAGGAAAGAAGCCCAGCGTAGCGTAGTGAGCAGGAGACCAGCCACGAGGTCCAGGCATGCATGGGAAGCGCCGACCCCGGACTTTGGCGTCGGCTTGGGGATAGGAGTTTTGGGGTACGTACTAATAGAAGCTTCAATAATTTCCAATTATTCTTTCTTTGGGAGTTCCTTGTTACAAACGATCGTAAAACATACCCCCAAGGCTCAAAGCCCTATTCTAAGTATTGAAGCCCGCTACAGAGCTGCAACACCCCCCAAACCGTAAACTCAACCCCGTAAACCAAAAGACCTGGGCCTTCGAGCCCTGCAAACCCTGAGCCCTAAGCCCCAAAACCTGTTGGGTTTGGGGGATCGGGGGTCCGAACTCCCATGCTGGGGATCCTGTAATACAGTACAATATGATCTAGCCACTCGAGATGCAGCGCACTTCCGATTGCGAGCGAATTTGGAGGCTCCAGGATCCAGATGTCGAGCCCTATGTGGCCCCTGTAGCCCGGCTCCGCCACTGCCACCACCAGGTTTGCATCAAGGTAAAGGGCAGGCCTTGCGTGCCCCAGAGAATCCGAAGCAGCCAAAGGAGGCATCGATTGCGCCAGATGTGAATGCGGAGCTAAGCCAGGCCGAATTAGAGGTTCTTCGTGTCAGCAACAGAGGACCAGAAGAGTTTGCTTCAGCAGGTGGGTCTTGCATTTGAGCAGACGCAGCCGGATCTGGTGGAGCTGTGCAAGCAGCGCATCGGCTCCCATCTAGACGACATTCGCAAGTTTGTTGAGGATCCCCCCGAGAAGCCTCCAACGCCGCAGGAGCTTGTGAGTGAAACCAGCAAGCAAAGCCCGATTCTAGCTATTAAACTTCCATGGTGCAATTGTGAGCGGGGGTCTTAATTCCTATCTTGGGTTTCTAAATACAATACAATATGCTACACCGCAAAGCTCGGCCCTAGTTAGAAAAATTCTGCCCTAAGCCGACATGACTGATCGCTGGGTCCGTTGGACTCAACAGTTGGACTCAAACATACCGGCTGGTCTATAGCCTGCTATGGAGAGGTTGTACAGAGCGAAAGAGCCAGATAGAGTTAAAGGTTGATGGTTAGGAGGGCAGTAAGGGTCAGAGTGGACCTACATCTACTGTTAAGCGTGAGGGGAGCAACCTTTCCCATGACAAGCCTTTGAAAGGATTTCTCGGGTTCGCAGGATGCTGTTTGGGCTTGTAGGGATCAGGCTTTCGGTGTCAAAGCCAATCTCGCAGAGACCCTTCAACCCTAAAGCTCTACTCCCTGAAGCCCAAAATTCGGAAGGTATAGAGCTTGTAGACCCTACGACCCTAAGAACCTTGCTAGAAACGCTTATAGTCCTTCAGCAACCCTTTTTGCAACCCTCAGAACCACGAGCAGCTCTTCATGGAGCCAGTAAAGGAACCCTATCAACCCTAAAGGCGACTGCACGCCTACGAGCGCCCTGATCAAGTCGGGCGTGGTCACACAAATCACCGGTGCCATGCAGGTCGCGAGCAAGGTTCAGGGATTTCGGAATTCACAGGGTTAGGCGTTCGGGTTTAGGGTTTACGGAAATGCAAAGGAAGCGTGCCGTTGTGGAGAGTGACCGGTTGTATGAATAAGTTTACAGGCGGGTGTCTTGTAGTGTTTCATAGCGCCTACACCGTTCTGTAGATTTGCTGGGTATAGAGGTCTGAACCATGCGAAATGATGTCGGATGAAACTCGGCTTATCATATAGTAAGTCTACCAAGCTGCCCTCACTTCCCTATTTCCGCAGAAGAGGACGCCTGTTTTGGTTTGATATCAAAGGGGAGCTCATATTCGGGCTGTCGGTGGGTCTAAAAAGGCCTATAGGGCTTCCTGAAAACATTGGTAAGGATCATTTGGCTTGCTTTACTGCGATAGCAGTAGCGAACCCATGCTTTCTACAGCGTCTGTACTGGGCTTTTACGAATTTCTCCAGTACTTCATTCTGAAAATTTAGCTGTTTATTTCCTGGGACAGGGGTTACATAGGGTGTACCATAGGATTGACGTAGGGCTTAGAGCTCCTGATCCGGGGTTTAGGGCTCCTGCACTTCATGGCATAGATTTGAGCCTGTCCTGACGCAACAGTTGTCGATACAGGTATTAGGGCTTCGAGAGGTGCCGGTGACGGAGCAATGCTACAGGGGTGGGAATATTTGCCAGTATATCACATCGGGGGCTGCCTGATGATGATTTTGAGATTGCCTTGTAGATTGCAGGTCGCAAGTCTTATCCTCGAATGCTAAACGAGGACCCAAACCCTCACGACATCCCACGACCTAAACCCGGACCCCTGAACCTGACACCCTTAGCTTGTCAACCAGGGACATTCCTAAAGACCTACTTAAGTCATGGGTTTCATGACAAGAATTATTCCCGAAAGCTTGAGTTACGGGTAAAGCTTGGACACTAAACCCTCGAAACCCCAAACCCTCAAGGCCCGAAGCCCTAAGCCCTAAACCCTCGAAGCCCCAAACCCTCGAAGCCCCAAACCCTCAAGGCCGAAAAAGCACCAGCCGAGGTCGTCACGGAGGATCCCGTGGGCTTTTCCAGCAATCCAATGTACGCGCTGGCGCGCACAGCGGGGCAAAGGGTAGGGGAGGTTTGAACGGTTTTGGGGTTGGGGTTGCCTCAGAGAGTTTTCATTGTTTGGTTTTGGCATAGGGCACGAGGGGGTTCAAGCCTGGGATAATATCCCAGGGCCGAAAAAAGAAAAGCCGTAGATCTTCAAAGTTTCGAGTTCGGTATTTCGGGGGGGAGTCCTCCAGACTGAAAGCTTCATGTCCCAACTTCGTTTTTGAACTTTTCAGAAAATGCAACAGGAAGTCAACCGCCTATCTGGTGGAGGTTCGGCATAAATAGGGTCCTTCCCTAGAAGTTAGACTCGGCACCACAATAGGCTCCTTGGATGCGCGCACTAAGTGCCTGAACCTCGATTCCTGTCGCTTCTAGCTGGGTGTGCCCTCGAATGTCAATGCGAGTGCGGACCAAGAGGAGGGAGAGGAGGAGGAGGAAGAGCAGCAGCAGCAGCAGCAGCATACCCATACCAACCTAGTAGCAGCAGTTTGTACGAACATGCAATTTGTAAATATGTGTGGCCCTAGATACGAAGCTGTCTGGAGATTTGGCTGCTTGACACCATGTATACACACACACACAGACACACACACACACACACACACACACGGAGACCTTACAACCCCTAAAGCCATACAAATACTACTAATAATCTGACAGTTCTAGGGCTCGGAATTTTGGTGAGTGTACAGAGGGCTCCTTAGAAGGTTGGCAAGTGCAGATTTCGGGCTTGGCTTTAGAATCAGTACCCCCTGTTCATTAAAACGGGGCTGTGCGTTTAGCATTACTATGCCTGCGGGATCCGAAACGAAATTATACTCCCAAATCCTATCCTGATTCCCCAGGGCCATATGGGAGTTTCCGAAAATAGGGGACCCCAATATAGGACCCTAAATAGTCGGATCCTTACTATAAGGACCCCAAAATAAGGTACCCCCTAATTTTCGGAAACCCCCATATACTGTGCGACCATATGCTGCAGATGCTGCAGGTGGCCAGGGAAGCCATCCGCGAGTTCGCCAAAATCGTTTCTCGGCTCCGGGGGCCCCGTGTGCTTTTGCTGTTCTTGCTCTTTTTCTTCAGGGATCTAAGGACTCATATACTAAGGCTTTTGGGCCCAAAGACCATACTTTTGGGCAAATTTTGATCCCTAGGGTTTTTTGGGGGGAAGTCTGTGGACATTCGATTGTTTGGTTTGCAAGTTCTCAGTGGGTTCGTGTGAAGTTACGTTGTTGTCAAGTTGCTTGTAGGTGTCATGATGCTCACAACGTTCTTGTTGTTTCGAAGATAAAAGTCTTTCTGGTAGGGTTTTTCCATGAGTGTACGCACTCGTTCTTGTTCATGAAAGTCCTTCTCGGGATCTGCCAACACTTCTAAACGGCTGGTATCACATTGCTGCAAGGTCCAGGCTGGGGGGCTTAGATTGTAGGGTCTGAAAGAACTCAGGGTTTACAGCTCGGTGCTTCAACTGTCCGCTAGCGACGACACTTCAGGCTAATCTTAGTTCTTAAATGCTCGACCTTTAGTTTTGCCTTCTTGGGGCAGAAAGCGTCAACTTGTCCTCTTGGTTTTGAGGGGCATTCTCTTGGATACACTGCCTGTTTCAGCTCCTGAAAGAGAAGCTTTTCGAGCCAAGGAACCTTCCCCGAGAGTACACGCAAGGGCCGGAAGCCCTGGACCCGAAACCCCAAAAAACCCAAACCACCTCTCTCGAACCATTGCAAGACCCTCAAATTGGCTAGTCCCCGAAACCTGAACCCTGGACGTAAAGCCCTAAACTCAAATCCCTAAGCAACACAAAGGCTGTCCAGCGAGTACATTGTTCGGTGCAGCCCGCGCGGCGTTCCTCTCGAGGGGCTGCGCGGGCGGCGAACATTTGGCTTCTCAGATACAGCCGTTACAGGGTTCTAGAAGCGTCTGCAGACTTTTTAGGATCGAGGGTCCAATAGTGCAGTATACTAGAGTAAAGGGGCGACCAGGCGGCTTTTGACTACTGGGTTTCAACAAACAGGGTTGTCTGTGTGCATGTCCTTATGATGAGGGAACTACTATTTAGGGTTTTGTGTCAGGTTTCCTGATGTTCTGAAACTTCCGTTCGGGCTTAATGTAGACCTCTGACGGCTAGGCCCCCTAAGGGCCTTCATGTTTGGATCCTTACAGTAATCACCGTAATCCTACAAGGCACAGCGTCGTTTATCAGAGGGACCAAGTACACACTTGATGTTGAGAAATTACGACCTTTTGGTTGCACGATGTCGGAGAGTGCTGCAGGGTTTTGCGGAGTTTCATCGGTTGCATTGTTGCTTGTTGCGCTGTGCGGAGCTCTACAGAATTTTCAGAGCTGTTAGCGGGTCTGAAATCCCTGAGCCCTCTCTAAACCCCTAGCCCTATCTTCTTATACCCCGGAAACCCTGGTCCTAACCTCTAAACACCCTAAAGCCTATGTAGTTTAGGACTGCCTCGATGGGTCGTTTTCGGATGTAAGGTTCCAGTCTCGGGCGGCTGGGTCCTGGAAGCGACATGTTGAGCTTAAGTTTGTTCGCATAAAGCAAGCCCCGGAGAAAGCGGAATTTACACAGACAGGTTTACTTCAGTGTTGACTTAGAAGCTAATTCTGTCTTCAATTTCTGCAAGGGGGAATGTTACCTTCTGGACTGGTTGCCAGGTAGTGAAGCTGTAGTGGTATTGTAGCGCGTCAAGCTGTAGACCTAAGCCGAAAGACTCTGCACGGGAAAACCTTGTCGAGTTCCACTGCGCGGAGAGTTCGTCTCAGCGATCATATTGCTTTCTGGCCACCCGTCGTGGTGCACGATGACGCCTGTCATCTTCTCACTTTGCTGAGAATCGGCCTGCCGTCCCGGAGGTCGGGACACCAAACTTGGCATTTCCCAGCTGCGCTACGAGTTGACAAGTTCCACGTCTGCGGGCATGTGGATGACTGGTGCCGAGCGAACTGTCATTCTAAAGGTGATAGCAACAAACCTGGCGAAACGCTTGAAAGCGGGCTTTAAGATTTGGGGTTTAAGCACCAACGTCGCGAGTAGAAAGATGACTTTAGGCCGGGATTTCAGATTAGAGTGGAGGGACCTGAACAAGCAGAAGCGGGTTTTGGTGGTTTAGGGAGTTGCACTTATGCTACCGCCATATGAGGGCCTGAAATTCTAGAGACTTGGAATAATCGTTGCAAGCTTTGCATCTTAAGAACGACGGGTTACGCCACGCTTTCAGTCATCATAAGCTGAATCATAAGACATCGCTGAATAATCCACTGCGAAGCATTAGGTTCCGGGCTGAGATAAAAAAAGATCGGTCCTCTTCGCGGGTTAAACGTGATTCCAAAGCCGGAAAGGCCCCCTAAACCCTAAACCCTAAACCCTAAACCCTAAACCCTAAACCCCAACCCAACGCCCCCAAGACCCAAAAACCTGAATCCTGCGCCCCAGGCCCGAAACATACAGAGCTGTTGGCTCTAAGTTACAGGCAGCTGCAGGTTTGGTTACCAAGAGTCTCCCACTAGCAGGCCTCAAGCCTTGGGTCATTGCTGTAGGCTTTAGGAGATACTAAGACTTAAGGTAGAGAACATACTAGTAGGAATACGACTTGCAGCAATGATGATAATAACAGGAGCAGGAGGGGGAGGACGAGTGACGATAATATCAGTAACTGGGATTTTGATTTGGGGCATAGGATGTAGGGTTTAGGAATTAGGGCCAGGTTTCGGGGCGTTGCGCTTAGAGTGCGATTCTTAGTCAGGACTGTTTAAGGGGGTTCAGGGGCATTATGCCTCATAAAGGATGTGCCATGGTGCTAAAAATTATGGTGTTGAGGGTTACGCAGGAGTTTGTTCTTCAATGTGTTGTGACTGGGCTCCCTGGAAAAGGGCTAGCTTCACCGCTGATGGAGTGTCTTGGGCAGGCTTTCTGGGTGCTAGCGGTTGGGTTTAGGGTTTGGGGTGGATGGTGTTGGGTATACAGTGTTTCGGCTCTGGTTCAGCTGGAGCTAGTAGCTGAAGGTAATAGCTTACTTGCTATGTACAACTACTTGGAGGTTCATGGCTAGTTGTAAATGGGGTTATAAGTAGGGTAACTATACTTATAACCCATATCAGGGGACTTATAACCCACTTATAACTACCCATGAACCTCCAAGTAGGCCCTAAACCCTATTCCCCTATAGAATCCCTGTAGATCCTTACAACTACCCATGAACCTCCAAGTACCCACGATGCTTCAAGCCAAGGTTCAGCTTGCTGGTGCCAAATGCTACCAATGTCACTGCAGTACGGTCGAACTTGGTGGCAACCGCCCCACGGCTAAAGCCAGAACCCTAAACAGTACTTTTAGTTTTGGGCGCAGTCTTGGTGTGGTATTGAGGTGCACTTAACGACTTAATTTTGGAGTTCTGTGCTACGTCTATTGAAGCGACTCCTTCTCGGAAATAGACGACGATATGTAGCAGCAACGACACACAAGCCACAAGTGTCCCTGAAGCGCGCGCAAACACAGAATCCCGCTTGTAGAAGGTGGAAAGCCAGAAGAGCTGGCCGACTTCGGTATGTCAAAGTACTAGGATCCCTGGTATCAGGACCCCGAAAATCCGAAATTCTGCTCCTTGCAACCTTGTAGCTTTCATCGAAGATGAAAAATGGGAAGACCCAGACCCTTGTAACACTGTTAGGGTTTAGGGTTTTAGGGTTTAGGGTTTAGGGTGGTTTAGGGTTTAGGGTTTAGGGTGGTTTAGGGTAGAGGGTTTAGGTGGTTTAGGGTTTAGGGTTTGTAGAACTCAGACCCATCCAAAGACCTTGGCCCTAACCAAGGACACCCTAAGTGCTGGCCGGCTGCTGCGCCAGATGCTGCGGCGAGCGGGGATGCAACTCCGTGCTAATTGGGCATCGGGCTCCATTGGGTTAGGGTTAGGGTCTTCAGAAAGCTGCATAAGGTTTCGGGTGTTCTAGGATTTTCTCTTTCCCTGCATTCATACATGTCCATCTATTTGTGTTTGTGTACGTGGGGGGATGCGTTGACCTGTACAGGCATATCATTTACAAACTTAATATTTACTCACTGCATGTGTTTGTCTCGGGCCGGGAGGTGGCCGAGGGGAAGGGATGTGTATGCAAGGCAGGCCTGTCACCCTTGATCTGTGTCAGCATGGGCAGTCTCCCCTCTGCCTCGTTTCGCTATACCCAGCCCCCGAAACCTCCTTCCCTGGGTTGCAGAAGACACCAGAGGGGGAAGGGAAACACAGGGGCGCCAAGTAGCATGGGGAGAGCCTGGGTTGAGGGTTTCAGGCTTATGCAAAGTTAGAGTTCAAAGTTTAGGGTTTGGGGGTTTGAAAATACTTGAGGCTTTTGGGCGGGGGATACAGTGCAAGACCATACGGCCTCGACCTGTGGGTATTTGGTTCGGCTTGTTCTACATGCAAACTCTCTAATCTGAGAGCCTTAGCCATTGCTTTTTGCTGCAGCCTGGGCTGAAGGCTTGTGCATCAACGCTTTGAGATCTCGATTACAACTTTCACGGGAATGAGTAGGCCAACACAGTACCCTGACTGCGAGCCTATGAACCCGAAGTCGTAATCTCTAAATCTTGAATCTGAGAGTTTGACGACGGATCCCCGTGCTCCTGAGGTATATCTTCACGAATGTTACGAAGTTTCTGGTCAGCATGCCGAAGCCTACGCCGCCACCACCGAAGAAGGTGAGGGAGTGCTTGAAGGGTTAACTGTAGGGATTCGAGCACTTGACTTGAAGATGCTGCTTCTTGGGGGTACTTAGATTTTTTAAAAATCATAACTTTTGCTAGGGTTCTAAGTTCAGTATAGGCTTGATGGGTCCAGCATTGCAGGGGTTGGGTTGGATTCATGGTAACATACTATAGGATCTGAATACTGTAGTTCGTAATGGTAATATACTATAGGATCTGAGTAGTTCGTACTATTATCCACGTATTGTCCCTATTGCTCGCCGAAGGTTGCAACTTTGAGCAAACAGCCCTAACAGTTCAGAGTTCAGCAAGCCGCATGTCGTGTCATTTCTACTCCTACATGTTGCGTATGTTTCGGATGGAGGCTTGGAACCCTGAAGATCGAGCTGCCAGAGTCGTAGGGCTTGAGTATACGGCCTGAACCCAATAGGCAATCCGAAACCCTGAGCCCCACCAAGCCCTGAATGACTGGAAGCCCAAATTTGAACCTCAACCACAAAAAGCAGCCTTGGCAATTCTGCTGGGGCCGCAGGCAGTTCGGCCCCCGAAGAATTCCACCCGAGTCGTTTGCTTCATGCACCTCTGGCTCGACTTACAAGCGAGACGTGTACAGTGTTGTTGCAGCTGTAAAGTGGCCTGCTAAGGATTTTGCGGGCATCAACAAGCGATACCATACCTACTGCCCTAGACAATAAATCCACACTTCATTATGATTCCTTTTGGCTGAGGGGTCGTGGAGTCTCTGGGAAGGAGAGGGTTTCCGGGCCCAGCTTGTATTTCATTTATGACTTCCGGTGCTGACGGTTTGAGGCTGGAGCTCTTGGGTTCAATGTATAGCTACCCTCCAGCGCAACCACCGGATTCCTACTAACGAAGCATATGAGGGAGCTTGGTTTGCCGGGTCTTGCTAGCTTGCAGGTTTGAGGACCCTATAATCCAACCCAACGCCCTAAACTCCACAGAGCCACCCCGAACCCTACTCACGGGATGGATTTCAAAGGTTGAGCCCAAGCCCCGCTTATCAGCTCCTAATTTCGATTCTGAAGCCTGAACGACAATCTATGAAATCTGAAACCAAGATCAGGGATCAGGCTTTGCAGGGCTTATTGTCCTCGCAAGAGGTTCGGCAGCAGAAATGACAGTAACAACCATCACGATGACGATGCCATACTCAACCTGTCCCCGTCTTACAGAGAAGTTCCTGGCAAAAGGACCTTCAAGTAGCCATGAACACTATGCCGTGAAGCCTTGAAAGCCCCCACGACCAAGGGCCTTAGCGGTTCCACCGAGTTGAGGGGGCATACCTCCCCGCCCGCCCAAGAGTGCAGGGTTTCAAGCTTACCTAGTTAGAAGTACTGCAGTCTCATTGGTTTGGCATTGGATCTCAAGGCCCGCAACGTCGAATTTCGAAAGCCCTGAGCCCTAGTCCCGCGCCTACACTAGACCTTTCAAAACTCCTCCGAAGATCGAAGGAAGATGTCCGTGCCCCAGCCCCTGCTCTTTGCCGAGCGCCCCGAGGCCCTTCTGGCTTTCACAAGGCGTAATATAGAGGCCTCTATGATGGGACTAAGGCTTCGCGATAAAATTAGACTGTACCTCGGTTTTTTAGGTGGTGTATAGGGTTTGGTACAGGGGGCTTCCTTGTTAGACAAGGGTTTCGGTGTGTATTGCAAATACTGGTGAGATTTTATTCAGCCAACAATCATGCATCTATCTTAGGGTCAAAAGGGCTCTTGATGTGTCTATAGAGATCTGGCATGAGTTCTATAGGCTAGATCAAGGCGTTCAAGATTCAGGATATAGAGTTCATGGTAATGGTTGCGGGAGTTGAGAGCTTAGAGGTTTAATTGGGTTGAGCGGTTTAGGATCTATCTGAGATTAATTCATTAATTGTGTAGAGTCGATAGTGTTTAAGGCTTTAAGGGATTTGTTGTTTGGGTCTCTTGGTTGTGGGTTTGTCATTGTATGTGGCTGTTAGGATCCCAGAAGAAGCAAGCAAAGTAAAAATACAAGAGAACAGGCAGTAAACACTATACCCCAAACCCTAGACCTTGAACCCTACAGCCAAAACCCTGGAGGGAATCGTCAGGGATGCTGAAGAGCTCAGGAAAGGTGGTGCGCGAAGATTCGTAGATGTTGAACTCTCGGAGGCTGAGGCTTGCACCCTTACGCCCTAAACCCCAAAAAGCCCAAAACCCTAAACCATGGCCGTGGCCTGCCCTCCAACCCAAGCCCCAGAGTCCAAACAGAGCCTCAGCATGAGATCGGAAGGCCTACCACTGCGTTGCGGACTTGCCGTTTAGTGTTTAGTGCCTGAAGTTCAGAGTAACCCAACGCCCTGAGACCTGCTCGCTTCAGGGTCTGGCGGCAGTACAGCGCACAATTGGCGAGACGGCCAAAGTTGCCGACGAACCACACTTGAATTTCGGACATGGGGTTAGGTCAGGTTTGTTGGTAGTGCTTTATCACCCGGCAATTTTTAAGGGTCGAAGAGTCTACGAAGTTCTCGAGAGAAAGCACTGGGGTTCCTTTGCACAGGACATTACAACAAGGACCCTACAGGTTCAGAAGTCGAAATGCGGGCTCCTCGTTCCCTAAAGCTTGTGTATTTGTGCGACATGATGCACCTAGCAGCTCAGAAGCCTCGGTTAAAGCGGCTTTCAGTTAAGGTTTTGGCGTCACAGGGCTCTGATCTGTGAAGGCTTGGAATTGGGCTTAGGGTTTAGGGGCTTTGAAGGCTTGGAGTTGGGAGCTGCATGTGCGCAGGCCTGTATCAAAACAGTCTACACACCCGGAAGCCCTGCCATGCATCCGCAACCCTGAAACCCTCAACTCTCCCGTGGTACCCTGATGCTCGGGAACCTTTTATCCCTATTGTCCCGAAGGCTAACTGAAAGGGACGATACGGTCTAGGAAGTCTGAGAAAGAACGGGCGCCTCGTGTTATCGAGACCCCGGAAGCCTAAGCCCGAATGGGAGTTTCCCAAAATAGGGGACCCTAATATAGTACCCTAAATAGTAGGATCCTTATCATAAGGACCCCCAAATAAGGTACAGGTACCCCTAATTTTCGGAAACTCCCGAATGTGCAATCCGAAGCTGAGGACAGCGTCCATGTCTCCCTGATGCCGAACATGGCTCTGCGGGCCTCCGAAGAGATCTTTGGATGCATTGGGCAACCCTACCTTAAGCCTGAACAACCTACCTTCTTAGGGTTCCCTATTATGATTTCCTTATGTAGGCCCCTAAAAAGGTAGGTTCTTCAGGCTTAAGGTAAAGCTAGTCTCGTAACTCCTGCACCGGAGATCGTTGTAGGTTTGGGTCAGGATTTCTCATGGCGGAAAGTTTGCAGTCGGGTATGGCTTCGACAGGTGTTGCGCCATGTCTGGGCTAAGGCTTTCGATGCTTGTAGGGCGGCTTAGAAGTTCTTCCGGTTTGAGGGTTTGGGAGGTTTGAACTCTCGAAAAACAACGTGCCAAGGGTGGAGGAGCAAGATCTGAAAGAAGGCCGCGCACCTGTGGGGGTTATGGTCTCAGGGTTCTCTTGAGCAAGTCGGACTTCCAAGCTTGTAGTGCTTGGGCCATCCTCAGACTGTAGAGGATTGCGGCTTTCTCGATTTTGGGGACACAGACGGATTTAGGGCGTTTACGATGGGTTCAGAGTTCATGTCTCGGTTGCTTCTCCGGTTCTGCAACACCAGTGTTACTGTGCCAGGACTTGCACGGCCAAGGGCCTACAACCAGGCGGCACAACACAAGGGAATGCGACACACGTTTAAGCCGTGACCCCCAGACTGCAGAAACCCATGAAGAACCCCAAACACATTGTCAACCCCATAAATTGTCACAATACCCACATGCTGCCAGATGCTTTACCGAACCGACCCTACAAAGACTTAAATATCCCTAAGCCCCAGTGTACTTTCATGATGTTGTATCAACAAGACCCCTAAAGTCCAATGTACAACCCAGTGCATCTTCATGATGTTGTATTGACAGGGCCCCGAAAGCCCAATATGTCATACTATACAATAACGCATCCTGGCCCCCAGCCTTAGCACCTTCTGTTCTACCCCGTTCTTCCTGATGCCCGTAAACCCTACTAGATCACATGATAATCTGTGTCTGTAACTTACCTTTTGGTTAGTAGGGAATGGAAGAATGGTAGTAATAGTAGTTATAAAATTGTACCCCATTCCTCCATTCCCTACTAACCAAAGGTAAGGTGAAGGACCACCCGAAAAACTTTCGCAAGCTTTGGAAAAAACAGGCCCCAAGGAGGACCTCGACTCATGGCTCCTCGGCAGAACAAGGACCCCTAGGTATATACCCATAGTATAGCCATTATATACCCATTTTTGTAGCCCATTATAGGGTCGGGGTCCCCATTAAGGGTCATAGGGGCTTGAAGGGGATAGTGGGCGTTGAGTGCAGGGTTTAGGGTATATCGGGGCCTTACGGAGGTATGGGGTGCAATTATAACAACTTTGTAACCAAAGGCAAGTTAAGGGTTTAGGGTGCGCATGTATTCAGGCTCTCGGAACTTGAGAGTTTAGGGTTTAGGGTTTAGGTACCCTGTGCAGCTTCTTCGTAGGTGCTTAGGGTCTGTGTGCTTGAACCTAAAACTCTAAAGGTTCACCTTGATGGCGCCGGCGAAAGCAACCATCCCCGAGGCAGACGAACCTCTGCAGCAATGATGAGACTTTTTCAGCAAAATTTCTCCAGAAGGCTTGTATTGGGAGTTGTCAAGGGCTTTCACGATGGTTTGTCAGGTTTATGTAAGCAGATATCAACTTCCATATCCCCTGCCTGCAAGATGCTCCATGACGTGGAGACGGGCTCCTTGAGAGGGATTCCCCAATCAAGGCCTTTTGGAGTCTGTGCAGAGGGCTTCAGAGGCTTTGGTGTGGGTGCAGGAATTCCGATTTGTCGGAGACTTTGAGAACATGGAGTGGGTTGAGGGTGTTATGGTCGGGTTTAGTTTGGGGGTTTAAGTCGTTGCATGTTGAGGGTGTTGGATGTTTCGGCTCCGTCAGTCAGGCCAATGTTGCGGACCGGCATGTGAGAGGGTTGGCAGCAGTTCCAGAATCTCAGCACCGAAGTGTTAATGTATGGCACTGTCTAACGTCGATGTAGCCGCCTGCATGAATTGCAGGCAAAGCCACATGTCCCTGCCGACACTCCCAAGCCCTACTGAAGATACCCTAAGAGCCCCCATCGCTGAGGATGCTGCCAGAGACTTGGCGCAGTCGCTGACGGACACGACTCCAGCCAGCGATCCGACCCTGAAGAAGTTGTTTTTCTTGTTTTCTTCGGTGCTCTTTGGAAATCCGATGGTTTCGCGGTTGATTGAGGGTTCAGGTTTTTGGGGTTAAGCAGTTTAAGGTTAACCTTGGTTAATACCATCACTTTCTTGAAGGACCTTTATATACCAGGACCTTGATGTCAAGACCAGAATCATGCGTCCAGGGTTAGACCTTGCGATCTAGTTTGCATATACCTGCCCTGACGTTTGTCCAGGGTCGGGGAAAGCCTTGTCGTCGTTGGGTCGCATCGAGTCTTAATGGGGCATACCGGGCCTCAGAAGGTTCACTGAAGTAGCTTGCAAGTTGTCGGCATGTTTCATCGGCGGGTCTTGTAAGAGTGTATGTCCGAAAGCATGTAAATACCTGCAAACCCCACGACACCCTGGGAGACCTCTAATTCCTGATTGGACATTCTTCTTGAACCCGTTGGAACCCCGCTGTCCAAGGCATGTCCGAGCGGCTCCGGGCCAATCTCGCCGCAGCGGAACTCTCTGCTCGGGCCTCCAGAAACATCCGAAAGTTTTGGGCTGGGGGGGGGGGGGGGGGTTTCATACCAGGGCTGTATCAGATTTTCTCAGGTTGTAGGGGTTCAGAGGGCTGGGTTCAAGGTCTTTGGCTGGGCGGAAGGATCCTCTTGTCTGAAGGTTCGGTCAAGACAGTACATAAGCACCAGACGAGCGGCACTCTCGCAGGTCTAAGACGAATCGTTCAAAGTAAGTGTCATGCTCTTACAGTCCTTCGGCCTACCACCTGCTGTAAGGTCTCTCAACAGGGGCTTTTCGGGTTTGGATGAGGATGCTTGGTGTTTGGGCCCTCAGCCCTTTCTACGGACAGTTGAATTCAATGCCACCTCAGCTGCAGCGAGAGAATCAGGGCTTTCATTTGAACAAGGGGTCAGACTGCCTAGTTTTTCTCCGGTGCTATCGTACGCGGAGAGATGCCGGCAATCCGAGTCCTTTGCTCCTTTTAGTCGTGATAGTGGTCACGACTGCGAGCTTGAAGTACGCTTCTGCGCCATCCGGTTCCTCTTCTGGCTTGCTCTACAGAAGCAGAGAGATGCCTCATGAGCCCTGCCAGCTCCACGAGTATAGTCCTCTACAGTCCATCCCCTTACCCCCCTACAGCAACTATACTCTAATGGTCTCCGATGGTTCAGGCCCCATGTTGGTGTTTAGGGAGCTCCTCACTGGTGACGGCATCCAAGAACATAAGAAGCATGAGAGCCGACATACTGCGTGTGTTCGTGAGTCTATACGCATTCCAATTCAATCACTAAACCCCAAGGCAAGACAGCCTGAAACAGTGTAGTTCCGTCTCTTCAAAACCTGTTTCGACTACTGTACCCCTGAATCCTTCAAACACGACGCGACAGAAGGTCTGGGATGCCAGCGAGGTGAAGCGCATGATGTGCAAAGCAGCGGTGACAGGATGGGAGCAGGCCTGCATGCTTCAGGTTTTCGGGTTTCACGGTGAGGGCCCGAATAAATCCACGTTAAATGAACCCATGCGACAGATCCTCTAGAAGACCACCGACATGACACCACCTACACCCTAAACCGCGGACCCTTACACCCTTGCGACACCGAAGCGTAAATGGAGTCACTGCGGCAGAATAGTGGCTTCAGTCTTCCTTGCGCTCCTTACAAGCGGCGCTTGGTTAAAGAAGATGCACCTCGAAAGTTTCGACACCCATAGCACATTGGGAGCTTGCAATTTTGTGCACTTACAAAATTGCATGCTGGCTAAGCATCGTGGAGAAGGCAATTTTGCAGCAACTGCAGTTGGGTTCAGACTTCCGAGATCACGGTCCGATAGTTGCTAACCCATAGATACGGGCATTGTGGTGTGGAACTAGGAGGTGCAGGAGCTGCAAGCTGGTCGTCCTGGAGCAGGTATATAGGCAAGCTCTCCTTTTTCACGGGCTTGAGCAAACATGCAGAGAAGTTCATTCGCGAGCGCGACTTCTCCGTCCATACAATGTCCAATCCTGGCAAACACTTGCGGATGGATGCTTCGCAAGTTCGGTACGGCATTATCAGGGAGGGGCGAGTGCACCCTTTGCTTGTGGGAACTTTGGCCAAGTTTGGATTGGCATGTACCGCAGCACCTGAACCTTCCACCCCTGGACAGAAGCCCTTGAGACATAACAGATACGCCCTTAACACGTGACAGGGAACCTTAAATCCTAAGCGTTCCACCCGTTTTGCGAGGAAGGCGGCGCCTTCGACCAGCGAGTCACAGGCCCTTATGGCACTGCGAGGGTCTTTTGTTGTTGCGGGGGGGTGGGGTGTAATAGCCGGCTCAACAAAGTACGAACGGACACATCGTAATTACCAGTGGCACCTTCTGACTTAGCCTGTGCCTCTTGTTCCTAGACTTCGAGATTTAGTCTTCGTACGCAAGGTGTAGAGCAGAATTTCCTAGAAATGTCGAGGCTTCGCGAGATACTGCTGCTGAGCAAAGTACGCAGTGTCCATCGCAATTGGCAACCAGTAGCTAATGAGTAGTGACATTGACTTGAGTGGAAGGAATAATTTGGCTCGGGTCAAAGTGGGCCCAGTGTTCAGCTGCCGTTGCAGAAATTCAAAAACAGTTAGCATGGCCAAGAACCCCTTAGCAACCAGTCCTCAAACCCTCAATCCTAAACCCTCATAAGTTGATAGTGACCTTCATCTGGACGTCGAGGAGAGCTTCGTCTATCAGTTGCGAGCCCACGGCAGTTCTCTCAGGACTCTCTCTGTTACGGGCTTCAGGTTTGGCGGGTGAGGCTGCAAGGGTAAAGTTTGAGGGATCCTACGTTTTTGATTCCTGAGCCGGTCCCTGCCGGCAGTTGCGTTTAGGGCATAGGGCCTTGATCTTTTGGGTGTTGGGCGAAGTCCGGGTTGAGAGCTTTACGGAGTGGCTTCGAGTTTCGATATAATTAAGAGGCATGACCTGGACTGGGCTTGACTTGGCTTCATATATCAAAAGGATCAAGGAACCCTCAACCCTCACTACAATCCCCAAACCCTACACCGTATATATATATATATATATATACATATATATATAATATACTGTAAAAGCTTTAGACCTTCATACGGCCCTTAGGGCATTATTATGGCTCGGGGTGTACGGTTTGGGTTCGGATAGAGGAGAGGACTCGAGGTATCCAGGCACGCACGGATAACATGCAGCTAAACGCAGGATTGCAAAATGTCCTTGATCCTTTCAATGGCCCGCAGCCTTGCATAACGGTTGATTTTCAGTCCAGCGGGAAAGATTGACAATTTCGGTCCTGATGGGAACGGTCAAGACGAATCGCGCAAACTGCTCGCGGCCCTGCGGCGAGGACCCCCATGCGGAGCTCGGCACGAGGCACCGCTCTCATTTCAACCCAAAGCTTGAACTGCATGTACCAGCTTAGGACTGGCTTTCACAGCCTAAGCTGCTGTTGTGTCCTTCTGTTTGTTCTTTGGGCATAGGCCTTAAGAGATCCTTAAGATTTTCGGGTTCAGGACAAGCTTGGTCCTGGAGTCTATATTTATATATATATATATACATATATATATATGGCTTTCTGGGCTTTCATGAGTCGTCTAGGGTTCGCAGATTTACTTTGGGGTCTTTAAGAGTTTCGGGGATTCGGGTTGAGAGTGTTTGGGCCAGGTTGAACTCGTCGAAGCGTGTTTTGGGTAGAACATAGATACTTAGAGGATCATGGGACTTAGGGTTCCTTAAAGGGCTCCTTAAAGGGCTTAGGGTTTAGGGATCTATAATAGAAGGGTTCTCATAAGGGGTAGTTTAGGTATACTTAGAGGATCATGGGACTTAGTACGTAAGTATTTTATAATTGGGGTTATAAGTCCCCTAAGTGGGGTTATCCTGCTTATAACCTACTTATAACTTTAGTTACTAAGTCCCATGAGCCTTCAAGTAACGATAGTGTAGCAAGCACAAGATTAGTAGCCAGGGAACTCAACAACTCGGTAAAGAGCTTGGACACCGGAGCCTCTCGTGGCACCCGCGGGTTCGCTTGCAGTCAAGATGGTCATACGATTGTACGATACAGGAAGCTGCCAAGACCTACTTTTACACTTTCTGGCCATAATACGGAGTCCATCTCAACTTGAGAGGGAAGGCTTAAGATTTCGGGGCTTGAAGTTAAGGGCAAGTTCAGGGCTTGGGTTTATGGCCTAGGGTCCCTGTGGATGGTCTCATCACGCGTGTAACTTGGAGGGGACTCGAGGTACGCAGACGTATTATGGAAAGGCATATCCTGAGTGCTTATCTTTTTGTTCTGACGATCCTAAAACATCGGGTTCAGGGTCTGTGAAGGCTTCAACACCATGACGTTTCTACAAGTCGCCCAATATATGGGTCATATTTATAACTGTGGTTGCCCTACTTATAACCCCGCTTGTTATACTTACACAGTGGCTGAACTCCAAACACCCTCGCAGGCAAGCTTTGGCTGAGATTGCAGACGTCCCGGAGGATGCGCAAGTGGGGCCATCTCGAACATGGAGCTCCAACATGCTTTAGATTCTCTGAAGTTGGGCTAGCTTTAGGGTTTAAGCCTCAGATTTTCTGAAGTTGGTCTGGCTTGAGGGTTTCAGCCTAAGCTTTTGGGCTCAACATTTCGCGAAGCTGGAACTGCAAGCACTCAGCACATTCGGGCTGCCGCAGGCGGGCTTTTGGCTTGAGCTTGGGGGGACCTGGAACATCGGAGGCAGTGGCAGACATGCTTCCCAAAAACTGATACATCCTTAACTTCTCTTCTCCTGAAACCCTAAACCACGACTCTCAGCTCGCAGGACCGGGTCCGCGTCTCCTTGATGCCCAGCATCTGGGCTGCAAGAAATTTCAGGTCAGGTTCCCTTCGGCCCTCGGCTTCGGCTTGTAATATAGGGGCCTTAATAATTACCAATAGTATTTTGGGGGGTGTCCTGATTATCATCGTAGTATAATGTATCCCAAACCCCTATTCCAATTATTAAGGCCCCTATAGTATGGGATATGGTTCTTATACGATTCTTATTGTGTTTCGAAGGGAAGGGCTGCATATGGGTCGTGTGTAGGACTCTTTACGGCCTCGGAGTTTAGGATTAGGATTTAGGCTTGAAACCCTGGAGAGGCCAGGGAAATCTTAGCAGGGTTGCCAAGGAAAGCAGGAGCTTGTACCTTGTTGGGTACTACTGGGTTCTTCTTTGCGGTTCCGGGTTGGTACACCGTAGCTTGTGAGCGTCATGGATGGTACTCCCTAAGCCTTCCCAAGCCATGCCTTGCTTCGTTTTGCCCCGAGGCAAAGCGACGATGTATGATGAAGCACTGCTGTTGGAGTCGCTTCGGCAGCAAGGTTTTTATCCACCAGCTAGGCTACGGTTCCAAAACTAGACACCTAAATCCTAAAGGCCCTAGGCCCTGGACCATTAAACCTGCATAGTTGTCCCGGAACCCTCTGTGGAGGTAGGGTACGCCCGTTGCTTTAAGTAGTGACGTTGGCTATCATCTTAGTTTGGGATTTGTTTGTTGTCTCGTGCATCTGTCGGTTCGACCGTCGTTTATGCACTGCCTGGTTGGTGTCTTCTTCGTGCGTGTGGATAATTGTCTCAAGCATGCGTGGGTGTTTGTTCGTGCGTTTGCTGGTTTGCGTTGTGTCCGTGAGCTGTTTGTTATTTTGTTTGTTGCTGTCTTCGCTCATTGGTTAAATGCTATGGGTGATGCTGCATGACGGTTTTTAGTTGGTTCAGCGAGTTTTTCGGTCAGAACCTTCCTTGTACCTCGTTGAACAGGGGTATAGTATAGATGCTTACAGCATGGAGCGAAGCCCTGATTCCTAACCTTTTCAGGTTTCAGTGCTCACTGCTTTTGTTGCGTCTCTCTGTGTAGAACAGCTTCTCGGTACGTCGGTTTGTGTGCTGGCTTGTGTCTCAAGGGTTTAAGGTTAGAGGAGGTTACGGTTTAGGGTTTACGGTTTCTGGAGTGGGGTTTAGGGTCTTGTGTGTGTGTGTGTGTTGCTTTCTCTCTTCTTGGCTTCCTCGAATCTCTCGGCTCTCGCCTCAACACCAACTCCAACCGAAAAAACCCTGAAACAAAAAATGTTTAAATAGTTTGCCCTGCAGCGGGCACTTTGCTTCGAGGCTCCAGGGCGAGCCGGACTACGACGTTAGCGGTGCGCAGGATGATGAAGTCTCAGCGTGGTTCCTCGAAAGATCCTGAGTTTAAGGTAGGTTCAGGGGTTTAGGGGGCTGACGGCCTTGTTTGTAGCACTTTGGACGTTGGGGTTGTGGGTGTTCTGGAGCTTTAGTGACGACTTGTACAGAAGCCGACATGTCTAGGGCGGGTTTTGGTATTTAGTTGGTTGTGGTGTTTCGGGTTTACGGATGTTTAGGCTTCAACACGGATTTGAGCGTTTTCGTGCTTTTTGGAAGAGCTGGGGCCAGCTCGTCCCTCCAAAGTAGGTTCCTCACGCTCTAGGTAGGGTGTTGTTTTTAACCGCTCTTGGTGGCTCTTTGTAAGGTTAGGGCGGGGGCTTTGAGGGTTCAGGTAAAGGCAAGGCATCTCTCAAAACCAAGGTCGTCAAACCCTACTACAGGCGTTCCCGAAACCCAAAAGCCGGTTTCACAGATCGTGCAGAGACGACTCCTGAACAGTATGTGGCCTTGCCGAAATAAGGAGTCCAAGACGGCCAAATTAATGTCCCGTTTTGCACAGAAGAACCTTAAGATTCCACCGCGTTTCTTTTCATTCCATGTGCCACTACACCGGAAATCCCAGAACTGTCAGCTCATGCTTGCACCAATAAGCGAGTAAGTGATGGCTCCTTACCGGAGGGCGATGTCGGTGAGGAGTCCGAAGCGGGCCCTCAGCTATAGGTTCAGGGTTTGTAGGGTTTCGGGTCAGCCTTGCCCCGGCCCCGGCCCAGGTATGTCATTCGGGTGTGTCTTGGCAGCAGTCGCTGCGGTCTTGCTGTTTGACTCGGCCGGAAGAAGCAAAATAGGTGAGAAAGACAAAACGTCAAGCAGTCAAGCATCACTGCACAGGGCTATATATTCCACAAAAGTTCCACTGCATCACCGTGTCTATATATATATATAGAAATATCTATCTATCTGTGTGCCCAGGGGCACATATCGTGCAGCGAAAAAGGACTATACACGTCACAGGTCGACAAGCGTAGGACTTCTCAGGGTCCTCGGCAGAGTTGTGCGGCATTCAATGGGACAAAGGACTAACATAGAGGTCGCGAGACTTTCCGATACCATCTTCTTATAGTCCCATATGGTTGCACCATGGTATTCGCCAAAACCATTTCATAATAATTGCGCGTGAACCAGAGAGTTCGTACAGTGGCTACTATACGCATCCCTTCTCCCTACCTCTACCAAGCACCGTTGCTGAGGCTTCATGCCATCTAGTTTCCAGACACATGCATGGGTCTTGTGGTGCAATCCTTGTTCTTCAGAATGCCCTTGAGCCCTGCAAGCTAAACACTTAACCTTCATGATTCATGCCCCAAATCCTCTGAACCCCAAGCCCTGGGTCGCCTCCGAAACCCCTACAGGCCCTAAACCTTTGGATCCCCAAGCTCCTGTGCTCCGAAACCCCAAATCTTGAATCCCCAAGCTCCTCAAAGCCGAAACCGGAAGCGGCCGGAAGCCTTGAGAATCCCCGAGCCTGGAAACCCTGCAAGCTTGAATCCTAGGCCTGTGCATCCGGTCGACGGCGCTGTGAAGCTCTCCCAGAAGCTGCGGTTCGCCTGCACCTCTTGGGGGCCCTATATTAGTATATAGGGTTAGTTTCAGCAAGTGATGCTTTGGTGGCCTGGGTTTCTCGTGCTTTTTGCTATGTTTCGAGTATGGATGCATCTAATCAGGCCGAAAACCCTGGCCATCAGGGCGTCCGTCCCACCCACCCTACTTTTTCGGGTTCCTTTCATGATGTAACAGTTGCTGTCAGGGCTTCGGGATTAAGAGCTTGGGGCCTTTGAGAATAGACTTTAGGGTCCTACACTGTGCATTTGGAGTTCAGGTTTAGGCGGCCTGGGGTTCGGGGTCCACCGATTCCTCCGCTGGCTTGGTTCTTGGAGGTATTTGCCAGGAAAGGCCCTTGCATCAAGTTACCCGTTCTGGTCATTTGCAACTTCGCTCCTGAACACGAGCGGCACACGAATGCTTGGTAGGAGCCTTCCAGAGAACTGGGTGCTCTGAGGCTCCTTTTTCGGGGATGAAGTGGGTTGGGGTTTGTCTCTTCGAGGGCACGGGAGTTATGGCCTATACTTGGTGTTCCCTGACTCTTCGAGGAAGCCACCAGCAAACCCAGAGTCCGACACCTGACCGAGGAACAACCTCGACCTGACCCTGGCAGCCACTTGGATCGAAGTTGTTGGACCTGACCCAAGGTCTCTATAGGGGCCTTCATAATTCCCTATACTTATTTGGGGGATTCCTCTTATTATAACTAAGGTATAGTGGGCCCCAAAACCCTGTTCAAATTATAAAGGCCCCTATATTATGGCTTTAGACTCGCAGGGGTTGTTGATGTCTGAGTAGGCTGACCAAGGGAGTAAGAACGCAGGTTGTACCTTGGTGGACATGGGTTATAAAAGAAAGGATCCCAAACCCAGCGAACCGAAAAAAATCCCACTGAAACTCTACCTAAGGCCCGGTGACCCTTCAACCACACAAGCATCGATGATCACAAGAAGAAAGGCAGTTGTCTGAAGATCATGGTATCACCACGGGGAGGATGCAAGCAGCGACAGTAGCATTAAGAGTTACCACGATCGGGCCCAGAACCTTCCATCTTAGACCTCAAGCCCTCATGCTAGCAGCCCGAAGCCCTAAAAGCCAAGCCCCTGCGCCCGAAGCCCGAAGCCCAAGCCCCTTGAGACGTTTGTCAAGCTTCCCTGCTTGGACTCCCTTCGCGGATCCCACCCAACCCCCTTCCCCTCCTCGCAAAGAAGCAGCCCTCAGCGGCTAAGCGGAAAAATGAAACGAAATATGTAGAATCCAAACGAAGCCAACAACAAGCGACGCAAAAGCCGTAATTTGTAAATCTCAGTCCCATGTCATGTGATACAGGCAAAATTCCCACGTCCTAAACACTGGCTATGATTATGATTACTGTTATTATTGGTATTGGTATTGTTACTTTAGAGCCTTGTTTGATGTACTTTGTAAGAGCCCTGCAGTGACATGGGCTATTGCGTCTTCAGGAGCTGAAGCTGCAGGATCTTCTGATGGATCAGGCGCTGACTTGTTTTTTTCGGTGAGCTTTTTAAATCTGTTTTGTTGGTCGAGTTTAGGGTTGTAGGAGCTTAGGGGTTTGGAGTTTGGGGTTTGTGTTGTTGTTGTTGGGATTTCGGACTTATGGGGTTTAGGGCCCGGGGCTTTTACGTTTGCATTTTTTTTTTGCGTGCTAGGGTGCTGAGGCTTGGAGTTTAAGGTTCTAGGGCTTGGACTCTGTGGAATTGAAACAAGTAACAAGTAACATACAGTACAGTCATGGCTGTGGCTTGGTACGAGCACATGGCAGAAGAGGAAGCACAAGCGAAGTTAGCAACCTATCACAAGTCCAATAAAGGCGAGGGGTCTGTTTATCAGGGGTATGCACTCAACCTCCCGCAAGCCACAAGCCTTTTTAACTACCCTGACCCTCAAGCACCTGAACTCCAAACGGTAAACCCTGCCGCCCACAAGACACTTTAAGCCCTTATGGTAGCCTTTGCAGGGAGCATTTCAGCGCACGCAACCCGAAGCCCTAAAGCATAAACCCTTGTAGAATGCTTAACTGGGACCCTTACCGGGACCCGGAAGAAGCCAAGCAACCCTAAACCCTAAACCCTAAACCGAAGCCGTCAATCGCAGCAGGGCATCAGCGAAGGGGTGAAGATCTCCACGCTCTCAGCCGAGAGCGGTTCGGCAGTTTCCCCGCCCCCTGGAGACGTTTGGGGTTTGGGCGTGTTGGGATTGAAAGCTTGAGGGTTCTAGTTGGGGTTTAGGATGTAGGATAGCACGGGGTTTGGGAATGTTTGGAGCAGTTCAGACCCTTGGTTTTCAGTTTCATGGCTTCCATGTTTTTGTCGAGGGCTCCTTCGGGGCCAGTCTGCCACAGTCAGATGCCCTGGCTGTGTCTGGTTGTTGATATTCAGGAATTTCATAAGGGGTTCCGTAAAGGGTTCCATCAGGGGGCTAGGATTTGGCTCGGGCAGGGCTGGGACTCACTGCGGCTTTGGATGTTTGGCTGCGCCGCGTTTTGTTTGACAAGCATTCGGGTGTGATGCAGGAACCACAGATGTTAGTTAGAGTCTTTCGGGTCCCATTTGGTCCTATTTGTACTGAACTACCGAACCATCTAAAGAACCCTCACAGAACCCTGCACTAGCTTCTTTGGGAATTTCATTTTCACGAAGCCGATCATTTCCAGCTTCTAGAAAGCGACTCTGAGGCTCAAACCTCAGGCAGAGCTCGAGGGAGAGGAGGATCTGCCGAAAGCCACAGGCCGAGTTTGAGGGGGGTTCTATAGGTATCTTTCAGGTTTCTGTAAGGTTTCTTTAAGGCTTCTTTAAGGCATCGTGGTGTAAGGTTTCTTTAAGGTTTCTTTAGGGTTTCTTGATAAGGTTCTGTAGAGAGGGATTGTGTGTTATGTATTGGGGGTGGGAAGGAGGGGTGGCCGGGCTCAGCAGTTTAGGGTTTTGGTTGATCAGGGAGGCTAAGGGTCGTTGCTTTGATTTGAAGGTTGAGGGGTTTGTGGTGGTCTAGGGTTCAAGGGTGCCTGCTTTAGGGTCCTGCAGGGCTGCTAGCGACGAGGGCTGGTATGTTGGTTACTTGCAGAATGCGGAAATCGAGTTTTCGGATACTGTCCAGGAGTTGGGGCTCAGATCCCGAATAGCATAGCCAACCCTCTTCCTTATGTTTGTAGGAGGATTGGATTATTGGTTGGTTTTTCTTGCGGGGTTAACGTCTCGGAAAGGCGCTGGACCTTCCGCACAATCCGACCCTGCACCTTGACTTCGAGCCTCAAGCTCTAATTAGGCGAGGATCATGGGACGTAGTAAGTAAGGTTATAAGTAGGTTATAATTAGGGTAACCCCAGTTAGGGGACTTATAACCCCAATTATTACCTACTTACTAAGTCCCATGATCCTCTAATTAGGCTCTAATTAATTCCGCACCAGGCACCCCGCCGGACACGACCACGACGCTGCTCCCCGAAGAGGACGTGGAACCTCCGACCGTGTCCAATCCAGGTCCGCCTCAATTCTCGACGGCTTGAAAAACTGCTTTTAAGAACTGCTCTACAGGGGGCTTATATGTGTGTCATTAAGGGGTCATGGGAGTTTGAGAAAGGCTCCGTAAGGGTATTCTACGGGTTTATAAGCCCTTACATGAGGGTTTTGCGAGGGGTCAAGGGCTTGGGGTTGAATCCAGAATATCAAACTTTCGAGCGGAATTTGGGGCTCTTAGTTTTCGGTAAGATAGCCTTGCTCTGAATGTTTGAACGTTTATTTCTCTGGGCCGATCTTCTTCTGAAGCTTTGTCATCGACATCTCAGGCATGTCACCGCTTTTTGTTCTCCCTCGGTATGTCCACCCGATTGCCAAGGGCCCATATGGTAAAAACCAAACGACGAATCGGGATGAACGAGAATTCTTCAAAGCTTGATTGTCCAGTCCACCACATTTGGCCCGGTCTCTGTTCGGAGTCAAATTTTTGCGTGTGTGTTTGAAGTAGCTTGTCTCGGACAAACGCTTTCGGGTTCCGCCCTTAACGTTGACCAATGGAAGTGAACCACACGACAAAACCAAACCGTAATTCGCCCCCAGACTTTCAACGGCCTAAACCGGTAACTTGCGCAAATCCCCTGACCAGAACCCGGCCCATATAGAAGCCTTTCAACAGAAGGCCCCTCTAATTATTCCTTGAGCCCCTCTTTGACCCTGAGTCCGGGCCAGGTGGAGGTGATGAGGAAGGGGACGATCAGATGCCCACTTCGCAGGACTGGCTTGGCAGAGCTTCGGGGTTCGGGGTTCTGAATTTCGGGGTTCAGCTGGGCTGAGGGTTCAGGTTGAGGATTGTAGCATGTCGGGGGTGAAGGTTTCTGGTTTCAGGGTTAAGGGCTTGGGATTTGGGGCTAGAAGGTTTTGGCTGAAGGTTTTGGTGTTTATGAGCAGCGCATTCTCCTCCCTCCTCCCTGCACACGCATCGCACCCAGAATCCGCAAGAACGGAAAAACCCTGATGTTATGCATCACGGGGCCTACACTACTAGTGGTTATCAGGGGCAGAAGCGACGCATGTAGTCAGGTCGCTCTCTCTTTCTCTCTCTCTCTCTCTCTCTCTCTCTCTCTCTCTCTCTCTCTGTCTCTCTCATTCTCTCTACACATAAACACCTTGATACACACACAGTAAGTAGAAGTAGACACAGCCACGGTTACGATTCTTTGAGCCTTACCAACTTACCGATAAGTACCCCTGATCCCTCAAGTTTGCAGCCAGCGTCCCACGGTCGGAGTTTTCTCGAGCGCTCTATGGCTAGGGTTCCGGTGTTAGGTTGCAGGATTCAGGGCTTACAAGTTAGGTCTTCAGGTTATGGAGCAACAATGGCACTAAAACTTGCGAAAATGGCTTCCGATGGGTTGATGTGTTTGTCAGCTTTGCGTACCCGTGGCTTAACCCTGAGAATTCACCTTCGTTGCCGAAATCATTCCTTGCCTTTTGCAATACAAAAGTCTTGAACCTGCGGTGGTATCCGATAACTTCGTTCACACATACTTAGTGACCGGTAAACTTCCGCAAACCTAAAGTAAAAGCCACAAAGTTGGAATATGATTATCCTAAACCCTTTATGGTAAGTTATAGGGTATCCTACCCTCAAACCATATTCCAACTTTCTGGAGTTCCCTTTAAACCCGGCCCAAGAACCTAAACCCCTCAACCCTGACCCGCCAAAACCCTTGCTGGGCCCGATATGGGAGTTTCCGAAAATTAGGGGTACCTTATTTTGGGGTCCTTATAATAGGGATCCTACTATTTAGGGTACTATAGTAGGGTCCCCCATTTTCGGAAACTCCCAAAAAGGTGTAAGAGGCTTTTGGGCCTCAGATTGCGATGGCAAGGTGGCATTCTTTTGATTTTTTCAGTGAGGTTTACACTGGGGCCTAAATAATTACCAATACTACGGTTGATGATATAAGTCCTGCATGACCCATAATAAGGAATATACCATAATCCCCAGTGTTTAGGGTCCTTAAGGTAATGCAGGATTTATATCATCAACAGTATTCTGGGGGCTCCTTATTATGAATATAATATAACGGGATCCAAGACCCTATTCTAATTATTTAGGGTAGTCACACGCCTCGGCTTGACTGTCCTGTGATTTCACCGGGCTTGGGGATGAGAGGTGCGCTTTCAAGTCCTTCCTTTGCTCCTCCGGATGCTCCGGAAGTGAGCAAAGACAGAAGAATGATGGGGGGCCATATTTGTCCAAAAGTAGTTTGCGGGCCTTTCATGGTTTATAATAAATAAGCCTCTGTGGCTATAGTTTAGGTTTTAGGGCGTAGATGGCCTGTGAACCACAGTTTCGTTTTCTCACTGTTGTGCCCACTAGGTGTGTGAGACCTACTTGGCCACCTGATTCCAGCTAGATGTTTCCGTCGTAGTCGGATATTGCGTGGACCGCATGGATCGTGTGATTTTGGCTCCACGATGTTTGAAGGTTCGCGGGATTGGGAAGTTAGGTTGTACTCAACTGAATCGATGTACTTTAAGTTCAAACTCCCGTAAGAACCCATGCTTAGGATACTTCTACTTCTCACTGCATCGCCGACGAAGTTCGGGGAACCAGCCACAGCGTTCTCTGTCTACAGACTTGCCCCTATGAGCATGACAGGACGCCCGGATGCGGCTGCAGCAGGCCTTGAATCTAGAGAAGGATTTAGGTCAATTTAGGTCTTTTGGTATTCGCGCTTTGCCCAGGCCTGAAACCCGAATGCCAGAAGCTTGGGAAACAGGGAGCTGTTCTGTTCTGTTCTGCGTTGCTGTAAGATCCGAGTGGCGCACGAACGAGTTCAAGCATGCTGTTGGTCAAAGTGAGGGTTACCGGGAAAATGAGTTTGCCGTCAGCTCTAGCAGTAAGGCCGTAGACAGCAAGACTATAGTGCCGCCGGTATCAAGCCTCAGATTGACGAGCTGCGCTGCAAGCTCTAAATGCACACCCAGTCATATAGGGACGACGGGACACAGTCAACAGAGATTGTCGGCGTCGGCGTCGTGGTTTCGGTTCTGGTCGTTGAGGTTGTAGTGTTTCTGGTTGTAGTGGTTGTGCTTGTTGTGGTAGTTGTGGTTGCGCTGGTTGTGCTGGTCGTGCTGGTTGTGCTTGTTGTCGTGTTTGTCGTGGTTGCGGTGATTGTGGTGGTTGTGGTTGTGTTTTTGTTGTTGGTTCTTTGTTGTTTTTTTGTGGTGGTTGTAGTTGTTGTGGTTTGTTATTGGTATGGGTGTTGGTGTCGGTGTCGGTGTGGGTGTTGGTGTTGGTGGTGGTGCTGCTGCTGCTGCTGCTGCTGCTGCTGCTGCTGCTGCTGCTGCTGCTGGTGCTGGTGGTGGTGGTGGTGGTGGTGGTGGTGGTGGTGGTGGTGGTGGTGGTGGTGGTGGTGGTTGTGGTGGTGGTGGTGCTCGTGCTCGTGCTGGTGCTGGTGCTGGTGCTGGTGCTGGGTGCTGGTGCTGGGTGCTGGGTGGTGGTGGTGGTGGTGGTGGTGGTGGTGGTGGTGGTGGTGGTGGTGGTGGTGGTGGTGGTGGTGGTGGTGGTGGTGGTGGTGTGGTTGTTGCTGGTGGTGCTGTGGTGATCTCGTTTTTCGTTTTTGTTAGCGGTGTTGTTGTTGTCGTCGTCGTTGGTGTCGTTGCAGTTGTCGCTGCCGTTGTCGATATGGTGGTGGCTGTTGTTGTTGTTGGCGTTGGTGTTGGTGTTGGTCTATTGATATTGCTATTGTAATCGTGGAAGGTTGTTCTGCTGCTGACGCTGATGTTGCTGTCCCTGTTGCTGTTGTCACTGTTGCCTTTGCTGGTGCCCCCGTTGCTAATCCTGTTATTGCTCTTCTGGCTTCGATCGTCGTCGTCGAAGAACTAGTACCAGAAGCCACAGATCCCTGAAGCGAGAGCTTTGAAAACACTCTTGGGAACGCTTAAAGAACCCGTACACAAAATTTCCAAGATCCACAGGGAGCCTCGCTGCTGCAGAAATCCTCTGCTCCAGCGCCCGGTAGCCGCATGACAGCCGCGGCAGCCGAATTAGCGCTTGGCGTGTAGGCTTTCGGTCTAGGGTGCTGGGAACATTCCTGATCTCTGCTGGGATTGGTTATTCCTTGCTTCCGCCGTTATTTTTGGGGAAGCGGGTTCGGGTTTGGGCTTCCTTGGTGCCCAGGGTTGTGCAGGTTTTGGCTGTCCGCAGAATTTTGGAACTTGGAATCCTGCTCGGAGGCCAAGGGCGCGGAGCACTTTCAGGGTTAAGGGTTTTCTCGCTTTCGACGTTCGAGTTGCTTCTCCATATCGGCTTGCCGCCGAGTCTGAAATTGCTGGCATCGTTCTATGCTCATGCTTTTCAGTAGGGTCACAGCAAGGTGTGTTGCGGTATGTTGCGAGAACCCTCATCTGGTTAGCACTAAGCAGGGCTCATGCCAGGCCGAAGGCCTGTAGCCTAAACGTAAAAGTTCGAAGACCACAGACAGCCACAACCCCAGGCAAGAATACTCGTCCGCCAACTCTTCTCCACTGGCACCCCACTACAACAAGCCTGCAACATGAGGGCCTGAATGTTTAGAGTAGGGTTTTGGGGCCCATTTTTGCCTCTCATGATTGTAAGGAGCCCCCACAAAATAGTATAGGTAGTTATTGAGGCCCCTATGGTACATCCTGGAGGACCAGTCCAGGGCTTCCTTTCCCAAAGCCTAGGAAGACCCAAAACTCTGAACCAAATCCTAGGTCGAAATTCGGATTATTTTATCATCATCATAAGGGCCCAGAACAAGGTACCCCGAATTAATTTTCGGAAACTCCCATAGTGGAGCTTCGGAAAATCGGGGCCTGCGACATCGTCCCGAAAGCCGCGAGTTAATCCGGAAGTCAACATAAACCCAAACCCTGACCCAAGAATATTTGAATCCCCCCTTGGAGACCCCTGACCCAACGATATCAGAATCCTCCTTCCAGACATCCATAAGAGCCCCCCCGATTTTATGGTCTGGTAGCGTGGGAGGTTAGCCTCCAGAAATTCGAGAGACTGACGACAAAATGTGAGAAACCCTAAACCCTAAACCCTAACCCTCCTCCCATGCAGGGCAAATCAAAACTCTTGTCAAAACGTTTCGGTCAAAACTTTCGCCCAAAACTTATTGGGACCCAAACCCTTAACAATTTCTATAAACCCTAACCCTCCTCCCATGCAGCACGAGGGACTCTGAGACCCGAAAGCCCTGAAGCCGTTGACTGCATCCGCTGACTATGGGCTACGGGCTTGGGCTCTAAATAGGATCCTTGTCATGGCTCTAGATAGGGTCCTTATTGTCCTCCTGGTATCTCGCCAAGAATTGTTTTAAAGAGTATTTTCATCTTTCTCTCTCCGAAGGGAGCATGAAATCGTTCGGACTTTTATCGTCAAGTTAAGCCGGCAACCTGCGAGAAGTTGCATTTTGAGGCTCGGGGGCATAAGGCTTATCCCTGACCTGAACTCCAAACCAAAACCCAGTGCGTACAATGCTACACAAGCCAAACTAAACCTAAAAGCTTGACACGACTAGAAGACAGTGAGGCCGACACGCTTTGGATTTATTGTCCAGTGCTTTTGAGCACCCAGCCTATGCTTTAAAACCCTATAAACTATAATCCAGAAGCTCTTAAAACCCTATAAAGTCTACTTTCAAGCCCTCAAAGCCCAGAAATCCCAAGCCATCTAAAGCCCGGAAGGCCTGAATACCCAGAAACAACCCTCCACCTAAGGCCATGCTTC